ACCGCCCGGTTTTGCTATTTTCCAAACCAGACCGGACCGCCAGACCGCTCAAACCGCCAAAAACGGTCCGATTTGACTTGGTTCGGCCGGTTTGAGCGGTCCAACGATTTTTTTGAACACCCCTAGTTGGAGATACGCTCATAAACATAACAAAATAGTGATATAGTTAAATGCATGAGCCTATTGGGTCGCACACAAAGTTTTATCAATGTAAAAGCAATAAATAATATTTAAGAGTTTAATGGGTAATTAATTAAAAAGTGTTAACTAACTACTAGAGGGACTAATTGGTTATAGTCTAACCTATTTGGGCTTAATTAAGATTAGGTCTTGATCTAATATGGTTGGGTTTTAGTTGGATTAGGCCTTATAAAAGGATGTTTATCCCTAAACCCTAAACCTAATTTGACTTTTGAGTTCTTCCTCTTCATAACCCTAGAAAATGGACCGAAAACTAGAAAACACACACACATTATCAATATAAAGTGTGGTGCTTTTGAGATTGCACGAGAAGAGAAAGGTGATTTCTTCCTGTTTACAAGTGATTGAAGCTTTGGGGTGTGAACACAATAGAGATGATCTTGCTATTGGGTTCTTCACTTCCATTTAAAAGATTTTCTTTAATAACCCTCTATGTTTGTTTAGTTACTTGTATCAGATGTAATCAGGTACCTGGAAGGTTGTGATTTTCGATTTTATTTGCTTCCATATTTTTTTTGTTATCGAAATCTATCACAATCCAACATAAACGTATCCCTTTGTCCTAGACATCGGAGTGAAAATGAGACATAGGATGTGTCTTTCTCGTCAAGCTCAATCTTTAAATGAATTAAATGAAAAAATATATAATAATATTACATATTGGTTATTTGAACATGTATACATGTATTATTTCTATCTCATTATATCATATCATGGGGGCCGGACATAAATGGTCAATGTTACAAAATAACCAAAAAATAATAATTTTATTAGGAATAAATTAAATGGATGGACGTGCCTAAATTGGGCAAACAATTTGATTATTGGATCTATGTTTTTGATTTGTTAAATCATGTAAGTAGTACTTACCATCAGGAGTCAATATTATAATTTATTTTATCAGATAAAATTATAATATAAACGTATTTATGCAATAATTTATTTGGTGAGCACTTATTATCATCGTTCTTACCTGATAACGTTTAATAAACTGTCCTTGAAAACCCTTTAATCCACAAAAACGATATCATTATGTAACAATTTACCCGATAATTCGTGGAATTCATCTTGGTTGGTAAGGTAAAATGACTTCTTGGTTTTCACTTAGCCAGCGTTCGTTAGAAATGGGACTTAACAAGCAGCATAAATCCATAGTCACCCTAATTGGATTGAAATCACAGTTGAATGAAGAATTCCCGACGGGAATAGGGAGACGCTCAGACGCAAGCGCAACTGCCAACTCGGAAGAGCGATTGACCGATTTAGGGAAGAGCCGAAGAAACGAGATTACGAAAGGGAATTCAACAGGTTTTTCTATTTGTGCCCTAATTTTGCTCAATTTTTTTTTTATATTAATCTATCATAACTATCTTAAACAGAAAATATTCACTTGATACATTGAATTTTTAATTGATGATTTGATATTTTCGTAAAATTTGGTTAAGAAGCTCCCACCGATTAGTCTTTGGCTTGAGATTTCTGCCTGCAATGCATTAGGAAGAGTGATCAAGTTATTACTTGATTTCTTTTCTGGTATCTGGTGGCTATACACATTATGGTTATGATTTCATGTTACCCTTCTTATATCTCATCAAGAATGAAACAAATATTAAGAGCTTAGACATTGTAGCAGAGTGGCATGCTTTTTCATTTTAAAAACAACACCTCAAGTTTGCAAGAATAAGCTTTAGTGCCAAGTAACATGGTGTTTTTCACTTACATGTATGTAATCTATCCTCATTTTTGCAAGCACAATGGGTAGGTTCGAGACAAACTTCAAGCAACTACGTGGATCCCAGTTATCCTTTTTTATTTTATGAATTTCCCTACTATCTTCTCCTTGCCTATTTAGATTGTCTTCAATTCCAATTACAAAATGGAGTTAAAGCTAATGAAAGAATGCTGTTTTTCAATTCATGAAAAGACGATAGCAAAAGAAGGAGAAAATTAACTTTGTTAGTTGCTTTATGTAAAAGATTAGGTCCTGCCCTGGTGTTAGGAGGCTTGGGTCCCCCTTCCCCTGCCTGTTGTTATAAACTTGATATGGGTTAGCAAAACTCCAAGCTTAGCCATGAGTGTGACACCTGTATAGACGCTTAGGTGCTATTGTTGGACAATGTCAAAACTCGTGCAAGCTATGAGGTCAAACGACAGCGCCATTATCTTCTGGTTAGCAAGTGCCGATAAAAAGCATAGTTATAAACGGTCATTTCATCATTAACAACCATTAAAAACCCTAAACCCTTAAAAGCAGCATTCAACTGGCTGGTGCAAAAACCATGTGTGTTCATCAGATTTGATATATGTCCGAATGTGGAAGTGTTCATACATGTTCATTTGTCTTCGTATGGTCTGACTTGTAAGTTGCTTGACTATAGTTATGGGACATACATTGGCAAGCAATTCTGATCATCCCTTCTCTAATAATTGTATTTAACAGAGGTGTATGAAATTTTTGTGTAAAATCTACAAAATTTTCGCTGCTCAAAATAAAAACTATGACCAATTTGTAGATTTCATTCATTCTCCACTCATTTTCTGGCTCCACTAATGTACATGAGCTATACCATCCTCAACCATCTTTAGAAGGGGAAGTTAAACTTCATATTGAACTTTTAGAGCTATTCATAAAGAAAAAAACTTTGCATTTGGAAATCTTCTGTAACAGATAAATGCAAGCAAGACTCATTTTCATTTGATATATGTAATAGAAGGTACACTAACCATAAGGAGAAGGCATTTCTCCAGAGATAATGTCTATTATGAACTTTTAGTTTTTTTTTTTTTTCATACTCGACATTGATTTTCAATTTCTGGAGAAGGCATTTCTAAATCAATAGCAATTATTGCTACAAATAACATACTGTTTATGTTGCGCTGGAAATCACATCCATGTGAAACTTGTATTTTGACAAAGTCTAAAGTTTCTTGTGATATAAGTTCTATATTTTGACTCTGGTCAATCCCCTAAAAATGAATTTTAACTTCTTAAAATCGAATCAGGGATTGAGAATTTTGTGTAAGAAAAGAGGGAAATCAATCTGAATCAAAGGATGGGATCTGGTGAGGCTTTGAAAGTTGTGAAGGTTTATAGAGAGCTAATGAAAGCAGTGAAGAAACACATTGGGAATGAAGAACATAAAGCCCATTTCAGAGATTTCATAAAGTCAGAGTTCAAGAAAAATGGCGATGGGTTGGAGACATCGTTCATCCAGCAAAAAATTAAAATTGCCCATGATTATACTTATCTTTTTAAAAGTGTCCATCATCACCAGGTACACATTTCCTTTTTATGTTAAGAATTCATTTTCTATTCCCATGTGCGTTGATTTTACACTAGCATGTTGCCGGATGATAATCCCTTGTTAATGAACCTTCCATTTATAATTGTGGATTGTTGTTTGGTTTTGCATATTACAGACAGCTGTAGGCTTTGGTATTGTGTGAATATGTAGAATCCCTTTAGATTACTCTCGGAAAGAGCTCTGAGGAGAGAAAGGAGGTTCCTACATATACCAAAGGGAAATGGTCCAAGTCTAGCTAATGTGGGACTCTACCTCCTCCAATAGAGACTAGATGAGCACAAATTGCCCCTGATTGTCAAGAAGAGGCTAGACGGGGTATAGATTTCCCCAAAGTGTTGAGTCCTTAGAGTGATAAATCTTGACTTTGGTACCATGTGAAAATATACAAAATCTCTTTAGATTACTCTACAAAAGAGTCTTGAGGAAAGTAGGGAGCTTCCCATAGCCTAATGGCTCTCCTCTTATTCTCTCACTGAAACCACAGCAAGGCGTCACCCTCAAAAGCAGTGACCAAGACTTCTAGTTTTTCTTCATTGGTTAAGAGCGAAATACCTTTCAGCCCTCAATATCCAACCGTCTGGTTCTGTCCCTTCGAACACAGGTAACTCTAGTTTCCTCCCCCTTATCGCAAGAAACCGACCAGTATCGTAGTTTTTGTCTACGCGATAGTCCCCCTTTTTTGGTTGTCCATTGTCGTTGCTTTCATCATCTCCCCTGCTCTTCTTTGTTCTCCTAAGCGTTGCTTCTTGCAATATCAACATTGTTTCCATTTGTTTGATCACTTTCTGGCTTTCTGCATGTTGTCCTTCAGCGAGTTCACCTCCACTTGGACTGTTCCCAAGCTTCCCTCCACCTCGTCCATCCTCGATGTTGTTGATCGAGTCATTATCGTGTGAATAGTAATCGTTAGCAGTGATCGTGAATAGTGAACAGTGATTCGTGGATAGTAACACGATTACTAATACAGAACAGCGGCAGTAGGCTCTGATACCAATTTGAGAAGAGTCGATAAAAGGTTGCCAAGATTAGAGTATTAAAACCCTACAACTTTCGAGAGGCTGCAGTCTCTCCCTATTCAATTGTAGAGAATTGATTATAATAAATTGATCTATTTTCCAAAAAGGTAAACAATGAAGGTATTTAAACTAATAAGTAAAAGACTCTTAGAATAACACGGATCCTAAAGAAAGACAAATAAAACAATTAAGATAAACATAAGATAGTTATATGTAAACTTGAGGACTTATGACTTATCCAAGACTTGCTTTTATCTTTATCTTATTAATCTGCCCTCCTCTCTTTCCTTCTTGAATATGTCTTTATACTCTGAAGTCTATCAGAAACAAATTCATCCGACACTTGTTAAACAATGGAAACCAAGTATGCTTTGGAAATCTTGCTTCTTTTACATTTCATCATTTGAGCTGCTTCATCTTGAGTTGTTTAAAGTAGTAATGGTATAGTTTTGAGCTCATTGAATTTGGGTTTGGTTGTGATGGATTGGTGTAGGASTTGCTATTTTCTTACAACATTGCAGTAGATAGATCAGATGAAATGAAGAAAATACTTGGAAAATCTGCTGCAAGTGTTGGTCTCCAGCTTCCTGATGTTTATCAGTCTTGAAAATTGGTATGTTACTGTTTTTCCTTTAATTTATGAAATAATGAATTTGTATGCAATATATAGACCTTATAAGCGAGTAATTTTCAGAAACAACCGCTCTACTTTTAGAAACATAAACCTAACCTCATATCCGGGTGGGTTATATTGGCTTAGAAGCCCGTTCTTGTTTTTTGTTTCTAACCTCATCTCCGGGTGGGTTATATTGGCTTAGAAGCCCGTTCTTGTTTTACTCCTATGGCTTTTGATGTGCAACAAAGAACCCTTATCATTTTCTTACTACCTGTGCAGGGAAAGAAGATGGATATGGTTTTGGAAGCATGAACAAAGATTATAAAAACCTTTGACATTATATTATATGCAGTGGAGCTAATTCATCACATTATGTCTTGTTTTCTATCTGTCACCTACAAACTTGCTATCATGAATAAAGCATCAGCAAGGTTACAGACAAAATGACTTGCATTCTTTCTGAATCTTCTTCTTATAGTTTCCAAGTAAAATCAAAACCTCCAAAAACCTTAGGGGCTGTTTGGATCATGGGAATTGAAAGGAATTGGAATGTCCAATCCTTTGACCAAATTTCAAATAGAATGTTTGGTTCATGAAATAAGACTATGGAATCATTTCAATTCCAGTCTATTCCTTCATGCACAGATTTTACAATTCCATGGCAATATGCTAGGATTTCAATTCCTTTCTTATAGATTCCTTCCCTAATCCAATTCCATGCAACCAAATGCAATCACAAGGCATGCTCAAATTCCATCAGATTCCATTTCCATTCCCTCAAAGTCAAATTCATTCGATGAATTCCAATTCCATCGATATCCATTCTACGAACCAAATGCTCCCTTATATTCAACTTTGCACGTTGGAGATTTCGACATTAATTGTATTGTTAAAATATCAAATAATATAAAAAAAAGCTTTCTTACTTTTGTTTAATTTTATTCGTAGGTTTTGTACATTTTTATTACTCCATGCCATGAATAGGATCGATACATCTCGATTGGAAAAGAATCAAGAGAAATTGGTTGATATATTTCTCTGAAACAAACTAAAAGGAAACAAAAGATGGATACATAAATTACAAAAGATGGATACATAAATTAGGGGTGTTCATCTAAACTGCGAACGCCACACTGTAAAGCGCGGCTTAGAACTTTCACGGTGCTGTTTGCGGTTTACATTTTTACCAAACCACTATGCAGTGTGGTTTGCAGTTTTGAGTTATCAAACCGCGATGCAAACCACACGTACCGCTTATTTTGTCTATCTTTTAATTTTATATATAACACACATGCCCCCCTCCCAACACACACACACACACATATATATATATATATAGAGAGAGAGAGAGAGAGAGAGTTCGTTTCAAATACAACCCATCGCATTTGTACAACCAATGCAACCCAATAAATTGAGATATTTATGAAAATGATGAAAATTCATTTATTATGATTTGAATATTTATGGAAGATGAATAAAGTTCATTTATTATGATCAATATTTTATATTATGAAACAATCAAAACTTCGATGGAATGCCATATTAATCAAATTAAATGGACGGCTGAGATTGGGTTGTATTGGTTGTACAAATGTAAAGGATTGTATAATAACTCATCTATATATATACAAATAATATAGTTAGATAGATATAGATATAGATATAGAATAATTTATTATTTATATCACACTTTCGAACTTTATTTTTGGATTTTGAGGTTAATCCAATATGGCAATTGACAATGTTAATAAATTAGTTGGACACGTTACAACTTACGCATCAGTTTGAAGTTTATTCTTTTTACTTCTTAGACTATTTTCAATTATGAAATATATATTCGAGAATCAGATGTATTGAAACTCTTTATTTTTTTGGACTACTGTCACTTTATCATTAATGTATTTTTAAACTTATAATTATTAGATTGTAGGCATAAAGTGCAATAAGTACAAACCACATAAACCGTTCCGCATCGCATTTTCCGGTGTAGTTTGGTACAATTTGAAAGTCATGTGGTACAGTCCGCTGTTTGAGAAAAATGCTCAATACACATACGATTTACGGTCTAGTCCAAACCACACAACAATTATCCCCTGTGCGACTTTGCTACAGCTGGGTGTTAGTTTTCTTGGGAAGAATTAAAAAAAACCACTCTTACTCTTTTAGTTTTGGAGAATTTTCCAAATCTGTGGAAAGTTCCGCTGTACACTTTACTACTTTTATTTTGAAGAACCTGTTTGAGATAATTAGAAAAAAAGGCTGAAAGCATACTAACATATTCTCCAAAATAAAGAATTCAAAATCTCGAAAAAGTATAGCATTCAACTTTAACCGCTCCTTCACCTTAGATTTTTGCACCCTCCTACTTTCTCCGTTTTGAAGAAAGTTTTGGAAAATCTGATGGAATAAGAAATTTCTTAAAATCCCTATTTTCTCCATTTTTAAAAAGGAGTTGGAGATGCTCTACAAACTTCAAAATCTCTTGTTTTTCCCTCCATTTTTGGAGGAGCTGTTACAAGAGTCTTGACATCAGTAACTTTTGATTTTTCAAGTGGGTGATGTCAAACTCAAAGCTGGAAAGAATTCATGTGCTTTTCAGGACAACATCAGCATCAAAGTTGAAGAGCATTTCCAAGTAATATCACTGAAACTTGACCGGAAGTCAGGACCGGTCACAAGATATATATTCAACAGCCAACCAAACAAACAATCACGGCCCCTTTTTCGACAGGATCTCAAATTAGACTCTCAAAGTTGTATTCTATGAACAACTATCATTAAATCCACCATAACAGTAATGGAAATAGGTATATAGACAACAACTCATATACAACTATCCTCAACATGGTGTGCTAACCCAAACTAAACTACTCTGATAAGGAATTTGAATTTCCCCTTGATATTTTATTTATTCAAGGCAAGAAACCACATTCATGCTTATACTTGCCTTTCATGCTTTCCCCAGAAGCCTTCTGCAGGTCGTCTGTCTTACCTGTACAATTTCAAGATCCAACTCATCAGATGCCTGCCTAAAGCTGAAAATGGCTGTACATACTTGAAACAAGTCCAAAGTTGCAGCGACACCCTCAATGTAAAATATGCTAGAAAGCAGGAATTCTGTTTCTGCTCATACAGATGACACGATGCTGCCTAAATTTGAACTTCATTTAGGGGCTGTTTGTTAAACGCTTCCAGGGTGTCGCTTATTTACCCGTAACAGGCATAGCAAAGACAAAGAACCTTACCCGGTAAGAGGCATGGCAAGGCCGAGAATCTTACCTGGTAAGTGAATGAGAAGACTCTTACACGGTTAGTGCTTAGCAGATAAGAGGTGCTTACCAAAAATCCATTTTGACAGCCGAGAATGTTATCCGACAAGGTAAGTGAGGGTGGTGACTCTTGACGCTAAGCACTTACCTGGTAAGCATTTGGTAAATGGCCCCTCAGGAAGCTCAAAGCTGGCTTGTATCAATAGAAATTGTAGCCTAAGAGTGCGATTAGTAAGCAGAAGAGGCTAGATAGGACTGGACGAGCGAGAGTGAGGTAGGCGGTTGAAAGAATGGTGCAAGTTTTTGGTTTTAATTTGACATGGATGGTTTATAATTTATCTACCTTGTCTGTCTTCTTGATTTTTGTTCCACCTATTTGGTGGGACAAAAGATGCATTTTTGTCCCACAAGGTCATCTCCTGTCCCATTAAATGTAGCACCAAATGCGAGATAATTAGTTTTATTTTGTCATATCCTATGTACCAAGCACACCCTAATGGACAATATTTCTAGGTTGGGAAAACTTGGAGAAAATTGAGATTTAAACTATAAGTGTCAAGTCATGAACCAATAGCAGATAACCAAGTATACTTTCAACAAAAATGGCAGAAAGATAAAATTCAAGAAATTTAAACAGCAGCAGAAAATTCACATAATAGTCGAATATCTAGTGAAACAGAAACAATAGTTTACCTGACGTCTGAAAAGAATAACTTCTGCTAGCTTGCATTCATGAGATCTTGTGACATCGGAAGGGGCAAAGGTTTGTATGAGACTAAAGGGGTGTAATTGAGCTCATAATTTACACTAATTGACCCAAAAATGTTGAACCTTCCAGCACTACTATGAGCAACTTCTGCATCTGAACATTTTTTGAAGACCACTCGTGCACGGCCATTCTGCCTATCGACTTCAGTTTCTGATTCCATCAAAGCCCCAAAGCGTCTAAACATTTTATTTAGATGAATTTCTGAAGGAAAATAGATGCCCTCTGTGAACTTCAATACAACTTCTGTTGCCAAATTTTGCCGCCTTCGCTCAATAAGCTCTGATTGTTCCTTCGTCTCAATTTCGTGATTACTACTTAAAGCACGCTTTTTATTTGATTTACGGCTTGCTTTTGCTGGTTTTTCTGGTTCATAAGCCACAACATGACATTCTTGCCCTTCATTTTGATTATCTTGCAACAATTGCTCTTCAGAATGGTTTTGGATGATCCTATCCGTCCAATAAGAATCATTAACATCATCAAATTCAAATTCGAATTCTTCAGGTTCGTTTTCGTTGGACGTTTTTCTCTTCTTACCACTGACTGGTCTTCCGACGGATGAATTTTGCCTTATGGACTTGCTGAAAACAGCTGTTCTTCGATCATAGAAGAATGGGATGATGGTATTTAAAAAGCTGTATCCTTTCATGGGATCTTGAGCAACCAAGTGCAGTTGTGATAGCATCTCAGCCACAGATGATTGCTTACCCTCCACAATCATCATTTCCTCTTCCGAGTTTTCAGGAATCTGCAAGGAAACAGCAGGTCCAACTAGTTGGTCAGCATGTTGACCATTCGGATCGCTGTTTGACTTCAGAACCGATGGTGGCCCAGTCAGCTGGCTCGCTACCCGTTGAATGCATTCGCCAACTTTGAAAGACGGCTTAGGAGTTGAAATTAGAGCAGAAGGTACTTTCTCAAGACGTAGACTTGGCCTTTTCTTTGAACCATTAGAAATGGAATCGCGAGCCTTGCGTTTTTTTAAACCAGATGACGAAACTAAACTGCTGGTTACGTTGCCCCCTTCTGTGCGGTCACCATCTCCAGAATATGGTGCATCATCCGTTAGATCTGATAAACTTCGATCCTTGTGGGGATATTCACCGTCCATCAGATTGTTTTCAAAATTTTCTGATATTTTCGCACCATGGTTATTAACATGTTCATCTCCTTCAGTTAGCATCGAGGCATCTTCTTCCAATATCTCTCCACAAAACTGAAACTCAGGCAGGTTTCGATATCCCTTATAACGACCGTAAGATGATAACTGAGCTTTTGCCATTGCAAGCTCCATTTTGTCACCTTCACCAGGAAACCGCGCCAAAAGTCTCGCATAATCCACAAGTTTATCAGGTTCAAAAGAACTCACGCCAGCAGATTCATCGGCACCAGGTCTTCTATTTGATTTTCGACGAATGCCTCCATTTTCCACATTCTGATATTCAATTGTCTCGTAGATCTCCTGAGGAACACAAGAGCATGCAAGCCCCAGCTCTACCCGTCTGGAAACCTCATCCAAAGCACATCTAACTGCATTTTTGAACGATTCTGAATTGGTATTCTTCTCTATTTGAGAAAAATTTGGCCGGAATGGCTTCAGGACAGCTGAATCATTCCAAGCAAAAGTACCATCTCCAAAATATGCTACCAAAAAGCAATCTTTTTTATGATACTTCATGGCCTTCTCTGATGCATCAGAAGGATTGAATATCTGCCCAGGCCACCATGGATGACTCCTTATTTTACCCCAAACCAAATCAGAAACAGAGAACCGTCCTTTTCCCCGTGGCTGGAAATAACATGATTGTTGCAATGAACACGAGCTTTCATTCTCAAGAGGCTCGGTGACCTCATTTGTGGATCGTCCAACTGCCTTTCTCTCCTCTTCTTGCACAGATTCATCATCTTCCTCTGAGTCTGTTTCAACCTTCAAATTTTCATCTTCCAATAGAGGGGATCTACTTCCATCCAGTGAATCATAAAGTGGAACCTCAACATGCACACGACGCTCATACACTATGGGTTGTCGAGACTTGCAGTTTTCCTCTAGCTGGCCAATGACGACTGGTTCACAAGAAGATTCTAGAAGTACCTGTTCCACGCCACCTTCAGAATTCACGTTAATGTTAAAGTCTTGATCTGTTTCTGGATGATCTGCATTACCACTTAAAACGTCAATTTCTGACATTTCATCTTTCCATCCCAATACTTCATCAATGTCCATCCCTGCATCTTCTCCTCTCTCCATGTGAGCATCTTCATATGAAAATTCTAAGTTCTCATGAAGACCACAATCTTTGGCTACATCTGCACAAGGTGTCACACCATTGACTTCCTCAAAAGCATTGACCAMCTCAGTCGATAAACTTCGATTATCAGGGTACAGTAACCTTGGACCCTCAGAATCTCTATCTTTAGCTTCAACTTTTGTGGTTAAAACTTCTTCGGGACCAAGATGGGCTGTGGTTAATGATACTGGAATCTTTGAAGAATCTAAAACCTCATCTCCATTTCCAGTTTTCTCATCCATCACACCATCTCCATAAATCACCTCTTGAACAGATTCAGTATGCTGTTCCACAATCTCCTCATCCTCGGTCAAACCCCTTTCTGTTTCCTCTCTATCTTTTACATCAGTTTCTCGTCCAAATTGAGGCTCTCCATTAGACGATTCAACAGCCAATTTAGAATCTCCTACCCCAGTTCCTTTTTCAGGCTTTTGAGCATCGTTTGTTATAACTTCAGTTGTTGGATGAAAACTCTGGTTTTTGCTCAATTTGGCAACTTCAGCTTGTTGGTCCAGATTTTCAGCTTGCACATTGACATCATCTTCACCTGTTGATAAATTTCTATTATCATCACAAACCAAACTTGGATTCACAGAAGCACCACCTTGCGTTTCATCTTTGCAGGCTAAACCCTCCTCTACAACAACATCAACGTCCTCAGAACCAGGATTGGTTGCGGTTGATGGCTCTGAAATCATTGAGGAATCTAAAGCTTCAGATTCTTTTCCAATTTTTTCGTTCACAATACAATCTCCATCAGCCGCTTGTTCACATTCAATAGGCTGTTCCATGATCTCCTTGGACAAACCTCTCTGTGATTCCTCTATTTCTATCAAACTTTCTCTTCTTTGAGAATCATCTTCGGTTGTTGGATGCAGACTCTCTTTGTTGCTCCTTCTAGCAACTTCATCTGTTCCTGCATTCACCAACTCAGTTGAAGAATTTTGATTATTATCACAGACTAAACTTGGATCCACAAAAACACCACCTTGGGCTTCATCTTTGCAGGCGAAGCCCTCATCTACAACGACAACATCAACGTCCTCAGAACCAGGATTAGAGCCAAGATTGGTTGTGGTTGATGGCTCTGAAATCGTTGAGGAATCTAAAGCTTCAGATTCTTTTCCAATTTTTCCGTTCACAATACAATCTCCATCAGCCGCTTGTTCACATTCAATAGGCTGTTTCATGATCTCCTTGGACAAACCTCTCTGTGATTTCTCCATATCTATCAAACCATTTTCTCTTCTTTGAGAATCAACTTCGATTGTTGGATGCGGACCATCTTCGTTGCTCCTTCCAGCAACTTCATCAGTTCCTGCATTGACCAACTCAGTTGAAGAATTTTGATTATTATCACAAACTAAACTTGGATCCACAGAAACAATATCTTGCGCTTCGTCTTTGCTGGCAAAATCCTTCTCCACAACCATCAAGTCTACTTCCAGTGAACCAAGATCAGCTGTTGTAGTTGATGACTCTGCAATCTTTGAGGAATCTAAAATCTCGGCTTCTTTTCCGGGTTTTCCATCCATCACATGATCTCCCCCAGCCACATCTTCAACAGATTTTACATTCTGCTCCACAACCACCTCGGTCAAACCTCTTTCTGTTAGCTCCTTGCTGTCTATTAGAGCAATATCTGCACCAAATTGAGGCTCTCCCCTTGAAGATTCATAAGCCATTTCAGAATCTCTTACACAGGTTCCAGATTTCTGAGCATCACCATCAGAATCTTGAAGAACGTCTCTGCTTACCTCTAAACTCCTCTCCAAACCTTCTTCCTTCACTGCCACCTCAACTTTCTCAAAAGTTAAAACCCTATCAGAATCTTGAAGAACATCTCTGCTTGCCTCTAAACTTCTATTTAGACCTTCTTCCTTCACTGTCACCTCAACTTTCTCAAAAGTTAAAACCCTGCTTCCAACTGAAGTATGACAAACATCTTCACCAGAACCTGCAGCTTCTTCAGTATCCATTTTCGGATCATGAGTCTGTGTTTCTTTCTCCGTACACTCTTCAACCAACCCAACAGAACCCGCCTTACTATCCAAATCATCACGGCCATGATCACCATCAACCTCATCGGCACCCACAACATCCACCATCATATCCTCCCCTTCATCTCTCTCAGACAAAAAACCCTCGTTTTTCCCCTCCCCGCCACCCAATCTCCCAGTTACGACTTCATCGACTGCAGTAGAATCAACAATCACACTAGATTTCTCAATACTAGGCGTATCACGATCCTCATGTTCTTCCATTACTCACAGAGTAATCTGAGTAGATAAGCTACATAAAAATAGACCACGTAAACACTCAATTTTACCTGATTGAGATTGAAATCAAACAATAAAAACCCTAACTTTATATCAGAATTATTCAGATCTATCAAGAATGTAACCAAAACAAGTCATAGTGAAAAAGAAAAACGTAGCCCTAGTATCAAATACAGCGTACCTTGTTGATGCCCTCAAGCTGACCTCTGCTCGAACGTAATTCTAGAGAGAGAGAGAGTGAATTTTGAGTCCCCTTTTTGTTAGATTTCTAGAAGGAAACTTTGCATCCAAAAAATAAGCCTAAAATAATGTCATCATGTAGTAGTACTAGTTCCCAAATGTTTTCCTCACCCTAATTTTCTATTTTGGACATCCGGTGAGCTCACTTCGAACCGATCCGACCAAGACATAACCAATGGCTCGGGTGTTCCCCACATTTTGATGTATTTGAAATCGTTATAATCATTAAAAGCTATATTTTTCCTCAAACAATATAGGAAAAATTGTATTAAAATGAAACCGATTTTCACCTAATTTTTATTTTGAGGAATCAATTTTCAAAATCGTCAATTTACACCTTATTTCTATTTTGAGGAACCAACTTTCAAGTGTTTAGAGGATAAAAATACTATTTTATTAAAATATGAATATCTTAAAAATAAATTTAATGATGTAATTGATAAAATAGAGTAACTATTAGTTTTGTAAAGATTTTTAACTTTTGATACTTTATTTAAAAAGAATTATAACATAGTTGTTGAAGATGCTCTTAAACCATCTCTAATAGGTATGCTATACATATCTAATTATGTACACGAGCAATACGGCAGAATGTAAAAAGTTTTTATCAATATTTATTTCTCATTGATAAAATGGGCTGCTAGTTGCCCAATAAAATGAGCAATATACATTTGGAGAAAAGAGAAAATGTAAACCTCGGGTGAACTTTGATCAAATCAACAAAAAATCACAGTAAAAGTTTTATTAGCTTAATGACAATTATATTTGAAAAAATAATTGTCTAACCAAAACATGTTAACTAAAAGTTACCAATATACCCATATATCAAATTACAATTTTTTGTCAAACTATCTATGAACATAAACCAACTACTATGAAAATGGAAATTGCTTTTGCCAACAAACTTCAGAAAAAACTTGATGTCTATTCCATAATTAACTGACCTCGAGGGTCTTGATCCATTAACAATAAGACTAAAATGGTCTAAGCATTGAAATAAAATCCGCTTGTATACAAGATAAATTTCCTTCAAATTCACCAAATATGAATGATGAAAAAAGATAAATACACCAGGGTCACACATATATGAATACTGAAAAATGGCTTCAACATGTCATTTCCAAGTTATCATTTCACGAAGCAAAATAACCGACACACACGAACACACAAGTAGATCAATTTAAAATCCGTATTAGGATCTATTTATATCCAACAAGCAGCCTTGTTGCTACCCCTAGTCCTAATAAACCAACCAAGAGAGTTGAGTAAATAGTTTACTTGTTGGGTCTCTTCAAGGTCACATACACCGGCCATAGATTTAATTAGAAACTCATTTAAGGTCATATATCCTTAAGTGACTCATGTATATGACATTCGAAGCATGAGTAAATAGGTAATTCTACTCTAAAAGTTTGCCAAAAAGAAACATGTTGCAGTTTTCATGGGATGGATAGAGTAAAAAATATATTTGATAAACTGTGACATCCAGAAATTTAAATATCAGGTTAGTAGCTAGATAGCACTTTAGAAATATTATTAACACTCAAGTAGAGCGATTAGAGMTTAAGTAGTTAGAAATCCCGGTAGGTTGCGTAGAAAACACTGTTTCGACCCGAAATGAACCGGATCGTCTTATAAAATGTCAAATACTCCAAATAATTTTTAAAACTTGCATAAAATATAGAGTCTACATATTTTAAATATTTTTACTTAAAATTATATTTAAGAAATTTATTTATCTTATAGAATAGGAATTTGGGCATTTTTCTCAATAACTCATAAAAGTACCCAACTTATTAGATTATGGGCTAAGTTTTTACAAAAAAAAAAATAGAAGGGAGGCCCATAGGCCCACCACATGGGTTCCCCCCCCCCCCCCTCTCCTCTACATATAAATACATTTTGAATTCTTAAAATACTCATTTCTCATTTATCTCAACCTTTCACCTCCTTACTCTCCCTCACTTTTCATCTACTACTCTCTCCCTCCATCTTCTTCTTCAAGAAAAAATTCAGCCTTTCATAGAAAAGAAAAGGGATTCAAGAAATAAAACTTGAAGAAATCATATTCTTTTAATCAAAGGTAAGAACTTGTTAGTGTTTTGGCTTCATTTTATGCACTTTTAGTGCCATTTTCTTGTCATTTTCATACTTTTAAGTTTGCAAAGGAGAGGTGTTCTTCATTCTAAGTTCTAAGGATAGATTTTACATCAAAGACATGAAAAATGTTCTTAATATGGTGAAAATCCATGACCTAACCATCTAGAACTTTTGAAAAGCAAGAAAAACCCTTCATTTCTTGCATTTTTGTGTCTCTTATGGAATCTGAGTTCTCTTTCATTTTTGTTACCAAGAATAGTRTATTTTAWATRTTCTTACWTTAATATTGAATAGTAGAGTGATCTTCTTTCATAAAATCATCATTTTTGGAAATTGTGATGCATAAAAATCCATTTTTGCATAAAAGAATGACTTTTCTTCTGGACAGATTCATTGCATGAGTTTGGAACGACCATATATGGTTGTGTATTGACCCAATAAGCATGAATCTTTTTCCTCATTAATATTTAGTGTATTAATTTTCAAAACCAAGTGGAATAATGAGAAAATATGACCTTGTGACCTCACAACACCCAAAACAAATTTGGTGTGTAACAGTGGTCGGTCAGAAATTTTGTGTCTCATTGTTCATCTATAACTCTTAGAAGACACATCAAAACTCATGAAATTTTACCTCTGGAGTATAAATTAAAGTGTTATCTTTTCAAAAGAGTCTAACCCCACCCAAAAACATGGTGATTTAGGGGTTCAACCGATTTTTACAAAATAAGTGTGCAATTTGTCCAGACTTGACAGATTTCCACATGCATGTTCAAACAACCATAACTCCAAACTATACATCCAAATATAGTGATTCTTTTTGGAAAAGCTAGCCTTATGTGTTAGATTTAAAACAATTCATGAACCACTGGAAAATAATAAGTATAACTCCTTCAAAAGGGTGTACCATTAAGAAGGGGTTTTCTGTTTTGAAAGCTGTAATCACTGTTTTGGTAAAATTTGTTTGAGACCCTTCCACTCATCCAAAAATCTTGATTTTTGGTCATAATGATCCTAACTCAGTATATTAAAACATATAAAAAATTCTGGAAAATATACTTCTTGGATGAGGGTGAATCATGGACATTTTTGAGTCACAAAGATTCTGTCAGCATGCATGATTTCCTAAAACCACTAAAGATTGGACTCTTAAACCATAAACCCCATAATAAGCATATAAAGTGCTTAAAACTTGATTTTTGTAATTTTATTCTTAAGAACATAAAGAGGCATTTATAATACGTAAAGGTAGAATAGTAACCTTAACCTTTAAGAGTTTGACAACCGTTTGTTTTCTATAGGGATTCACTAAAAGGACTTTACCAAGACATACCATTTGATCATTCAACCATCTTCTCCGTGAAAGAAAATGTGAGTATTCACGGCCCCTTTTTGAATCCATCGTTATTTGGGGGAAAACATGTATAAAAGTAGTTGATGTTTGTATGAAATATACAATGTGATTAAATCATGGATACAAATTAATTATATGAAATATGCATTAAAATGAAATTGTGAATACGAGCACTAACACCATGTACGCTAGTAAAAATTGTGTTTGGGTTAATTAAAAAGTCTCACTTGGTTACACTACTTATTAACTCGTATGAGCCGATGGTTTAATGGATAGCGCTATTTGGATTGACAATCCCACCTTTTACTGACGAGTAGGGGTGCATATAACTAAAACACGGGTTCTACACATGTGGTTTAAACACCACCGCTGAGGTAGTTCGGTATAAAGGGCGTAGTTGTCGCAGGTTTAGTAGTGGCCCAACACTTAAAATTACTTGGAGTACATTGTGCCTCGTTAAAAGTGCTACACGTATGAAAGTTGTTGCGAGTAAGTAAAAGACTTACTCAAATTGCATAAAGATTTGTTGTACATTGAAAACCTGTGAACTCACCAACTCTTGTAGTTGACACTTGTTTTAACGTGTTTTTCAGGGGTAAGAAAGGCACATAGTGGCATTTAAAAGAAGCTGTGTTTCAATCATCACCTTTGAAAAAAAAATTATTATTAATTTACAAACTTGTCGTTTTGGGAATGTAAACGCTGGATTGTGATGTAATGAAATTTTAATGTATGGTGGTGTTATTTATACTCTATTGCTATAAGACTCTACCTGCCATACCTCGTGTTTTCGCTTTAGCAGGGTGTGACATAAACGAAAGTACTTGTAATTTTAGTTAACAGAGACCAAAATAGCAATTTACAAAATACCCTTTTGTAGCCTCTTTGATGCTTTAATTATCTCTGAGGAGCAGTAAAAACTTCAAGCCAGAACATTACGTGTCATAAATCCTTTCACGCACTTAGAAGTCCAGGATTCAAAGATTTTGAACTTATTCGCAAAGTTATATACCATGAAAATGAAGCGCTGAGAAATGTATCGTGTATTACAAAATCAAGAGTTTAGGGTTTAGTATTTCGATATCTGTGTTTGTTCTTCAGGATTTTGAATCAACAAATAAAAAATTCAACAATATTTCATATTTCTTGTGATGTCTATTGTATGCATAAAAACAACCTAATTCATAACAAATTTGAAACAAACGGATTCTACGAGAATCTTAAGTGATTAATAGTATGTAGAAAAGGGGGGTTGAATACAAATATACAATTTTCCCTTTTTGAATTCGTTTATTGATTTAAGAAGATCAATACAAAATTTACAAATTGTTGTGGAATAAGATAAGGTAAAACCTAAGCTAAACAATCTATGAGAATCACCAAGTAGAAGCACAATATAAAATACACAACCCAAATATAACCATAAACTAAACGACGTTACTAAATCAACGATGGTCGACAGTGGTTCAGATCGGTGGTGGTCCACGGTGGTTCAGATCAGTGGTGGTCCTTAGTGGTTCAAATGGCGGTAGTCGGCAGTCGTTCAGATTGATGGTGGTCCGTGATGGTTCAGATGGACGGTGGTTCGGTTCGTCGATGGCGTCGGTGGTTCAGATTGGTGATTGTTCAAATCTTTGGTGGTCGGTGGTGTTCAACGGTGATTCAGATCGGTGGTAGTCGCCAATGGTCGATAGTGGTTCAGATCGGTGTGGTCTATGGTGCTTCAGGTGGCGGTGGTCAGATGTGGTTTAGATCGCTGGTGGTTCAGATCGACGATGGGTTAAATCAGTGGTTGTTCAGATTGATAATGGTCGATGGTGGTTCAAATCGGTGGTGGCCGGTGGTGATTCAAATCGGTAGTAGTTGGTGGTGGTTCAGATCGATGGTGTTCTGTGGTGGTTCAGATGGCGATGGTCGGTATTGGTTCAGATCGATGATGGTCCATGGTGGTTCAGATGACAGTAATTGCGGTGGTTCAGATGGTGATGTTCGGTGGTGGTTCAGATGGCGATGGTCGATGGAGGTTCAGATGGATGTGGTTGGGTAGCGATTCAGATCGACGGTGTCGGTCGGCGATTCAAATTGACGGTGGTCGATAATGGTCATATTGGGTTTTGTGGGATTAGGGTATTTTGCGTTAAGGACATATTTGGTATTATGAAAATAGAGAATTTTATTCCATCAAAATATCATATAGTTGCTAATGAATGTTAAATTCCTTTATTTGTGGAATTTGTAGGATTTTGAATATCCCTTTAGTGAAAAAAGAATGAACCAAACGAGAGAATAAAATTTGGTCAATAGAATTCAACATTTTAATTCCATATTCCTTTAGAATCTAGGAACCAAATGTCCCCTAAGGGGGTGTTTGGTTCACAAAATGGAATTTGATGGAATTGGAATCCATCAAAGGAATTTGACTTTGAAGGAATTGGAATGAAATTTGACCTCACATTTGGTTGGTAGGAATTGAAATGAGATCTCCCAATATAATTGGAGCAATCGTCTTTGTTTGGACTATCCCACCCATCGCCCTGCCCATACCCAACCAACCACCATGTCACTATTGTCGTCGTCACAACTATCACCCTACCGCACCCCTATCCAATCCCTGCCCCACCACTCCCTCCCCACCCTTGCTCCATAGGTGGGGTTTGTTGTGGGCATGCAAGGTTGGTCAAGATGGTGGTGGTAGGGCTAGAATGGGGCAGTGCGTGGCAGGGTGGTAGCTGTGACGACTACAGTGGTAGGATGGTGGTTAGTGGTGGGTTGGAGTAGGGTAAGGTGGGGCGGGACGACGGGGTGGTAGCGGTAGGTGGCGGGGTGGTAGCTGTAACGATGATAGTGGCGGGATAATGGTTGGGCGAGTGGCAGTTGTGACAACAACAATAATGGTGTGGTGGTGGGGGTTAGGTTAGGGGCGTGACAGTAACACTAGTAGCATGGTTGTAATAGGGATGTACAGTGAGTGACCGGGGGTGGGTGAGTGTGATGACAACAGTAGTGGCATGGTGGTTAGTGGTGTGGGTAGGGTGGGTGGCGACGACAATAGTGGTAAGGGTGGGGCGTGATGAACAATAGTAACATGGTCGTGGTGGATGGTGATGAAATTCAATTTCTTCCATTATGCCAATGAATGATGAATCCATTAATTTGTGGAATTCAATGGAATTTGAAGGATTTCATCCATTTCAAGAAATGAACTAAACAAAAAAATTGAAATTTGATCAAAGGAATTTGTTATTCCAATTCCATCAAATTCCTTCGAATTCCACAAACCAAACAATCCCTAAAAAATTGTTTGGTTCAATTTGAAGAATAAAAATGAAAATGAATTTTCATTTCTTTCGGATTAAACAGGAATGAAAATCTAAGAAGATTAAATTAGTGACCAAACAAGAATAGTCTTCTATTTCAATTTTCCAAATTCAAAGACCAGGCCCACGACGGATCCGGTCCAGTTAAAATTTTGAATGGAAGGAATGTCACGTGACATTGGAGCATAGGTGGAAGAATACTAAATGGGGCACGACGCTGATTGAAAGCAATACGATGGTTCCACGAGGAAGACGATGACAGAAGGCCGGAGCCACAGCTGTAACAAAACAAATTCGAGAGGAGAAAGAAACCAACTCACAAACCACCAACCACACTATTGTCTATCGAAACCCTGACTCACAGAAACAGATTTTGCAGATTATGGTGAAGAAACGAGTTCCCGATTGGCTCAATAGCCCCATGTGGTCTTCTCCGACATCTCCACCGCCCAAATCACGATCTCAATCACCTCCACCTCCTTCGTCTTCCAATGGCGATCGTATTGGTAGTTACCTTCCCAAATCATCCTCCATCGCTTCATACGATTATTCTCTGAACGAACCGCATGTGACGTTGCCGCCTCCTGCTTCAATTAGACCTGTCCCGACTCCGAGGACGGAAATTAGGGATTCATCGACCCGTAGCAGCAGTAGTGATAATGACATTACTTCTTCCATTGATGATGTTTCACGCCAGGCCGAGTTATTACAAGAGGTTAGCGCTTGCGTATTTATCTGATCAAAATATTTTCATGCCGTCGATTGCTAGAATTTTAACTAGTAATTTGTTTATTAAATGGAAAACAATTTCTTCGGTTTCATTTTGTCGAAATTCAAATAATAACAGAGAATTCTCTTTGAGTACTCAAAAAGTGTGGACACTGAGAGAGAGAAGAACATAATTAGTAACGATAGCAAGCGCGATTATCATGTGAGTTGTTAACTTGATATAACCCTTTTTGTTAACTTCTGTCCGATGTAGCTCTCGAGGAAGATCGTAAACATCGGAGAACTACGACGACTCGCCTCGCTGGGTATTCCGGATGCTGCTGGCATCCGTTCCTCTGTATGGAAGGTCTGTAATAAAATGCTCCTGGTCTTGAAAAATCAAGTATGATAGAAGGAAACTGCGAGATATCGCTGAGATAACCTACTGTTGTCACCACAATCACCAATGTATTGTGGTTGACATAACTCATAAAGCGGATAACTTTTAGTGTAGATGTGAAGGGATAACATCATTATTTACTTTATGCTTATTGTTGCTCTTTGTGAAATGGGAGGATTAATTTTTGGTTTGTCGATATTCCAGTTATTGTTGGCATATCTTCCGAGTGATAAGGGGATTTGGTTATCAGAATTGACTAAGAAGAGGTCTCAGTACAAGCATTTTAAGGAGGACCTTTTGATGAATCCGGTAAGTTTTAGTTCATTTGCATCACATGATGATCTGTCTAGGTCGTTATGTGGTGAATCTGCACACCTTCTATAATTGTATATATTTTAATGTTTGAAGGCATGCTGAACCTTAGTGATCTTCAGGAAGTGATGTGTTTATCACTTGATTAATTAGAGGATTTCTTGACACGTCCAAGTAGGGACAACTAATAATTGTTTTGTAAGGCTTTTAAAGCTGCATGTGTTTGCACCAATTCCTGGATTCTAAATGTTTCCGTGGCTAGTCAGTCAGAAATCACAAGGAAATTGGAAGACTCCGCATATCCTAAAAATGGTGATCAGATAAGTGAGGGCAAGGGTTTGCTGGCAAGGTCAAAAATACCTCATGGGGAGCATCCTTTGAGCCTAGGAAAGACTAGCATTTGGAACCGATTCTTTCAGGTATTATTTCATAATAGAAAGATAAGTAGTTGTTTTCAATCTTAAAATTAAGTCCTTTGCAGTTTACTGTGATCAGATAGTCCTATATGTTGTATTTTATGTACCGACAATTTCAACTGCTTCCAGTAACTACTAAGTACTAACTAGCACTTAAATACGAGGATTATGCTATCTGGTACGAGAATGATAAAAAGGGTCCAAAAGATCCCAGGGTTCATGCTGATATAAAAATCTTCTGTCTGCTATGATGTAATACGATGGAAAACCTTCTAAAAAAATTGATGTATAATATACCAATGATATCAAATAGAGGCATTGCGATTATGCTGCATAAAGGAGTTCACGTTTGCCAAAATTTAACAGTTGAACTTGTGATCTGATTGTTTCCACCAAAGGCGAAACATCAAACATGCATATTGAAATCTTTATAATTGAACTAGCGACATTTAAAAGGATAGCTTTGATGGAATGGTGGACAGACATTTTCTTTGACTGTTGGATTTTTGCCATTCTGTCTTGGATTTGGTCATAAGGAATAACAAGATATAAGACTGTCATTTGTCCTTCAGCATGCTTTAGAATATGATAAATTGATAATCTTCATGACTTCATGTGCCACATGACCATGTTTCGCTTCTTTTCTTTTTCTTTTTCTTTTGTGGCATTCTCAATTTGATCTGTGACATTCTCAATCTGATTTGCGAAGCCCCTTTTCCTTTCGAAATGCTATTGTTAGAATTTTTTCTGAAGATTCTGAATTTCTGACTTAACTTGGAAACTTTTGCTTGAAATATATTAATTGAAAATTTCCATCCTTTGCACAAATGTAATATACTTGTGTTTTACACCATCTCTCCTCTCCATATTTCAATCTAGCACCGGACAGAAACAGATAGAAGTCTTGAAATTTCAGAGGAAATCAGAAATAGCACATGAAAATTCACAAAAAAAAAAAAAAAATTAAGAACTAACTAGACGAATAGTAGCATCTGTGGAGGACGGATATTTTAATTGGTGTAGTTGGAACAAATTAGAGATCCTTCCTTGAATTGCTACCTTTTTGTGAGTTCTTAGGCCATTATAGACTTTTCTTTTATGTCGCTGGAACCAGAGTAGTTTGCCTCTATCCATGCAACTCCCCAGTTGGAATTTGGTCCACCAGTTTTCATATATGTTCATGCTTGTGGTATGCAATTATTTTTCTCTTAATGTTTGTAACTTCTGCCATTTGTAGGACTCTGAGATCATTGAGCAGATAGACCGTGATGTGAAACGCACTCATCCAGACATGCACTTTTTCTCTGGCAACTCTGCTTCTGCAAAAGCCAATCAGGTAATTGGAGAAAGGGCCTACAGGAGGTACCATACTACTGAAAATGAGCATGTACACTAATGGAGAGGTAGAAATTACACAATGCACACTTGATGCAGACCTGCTTTCTGGTAGCTCTACCTATCGTGCTAGTGCTCCTTCAGCACATACCTCCCTTTTGAACTTGCACAAATTACATATGTGAAATGATGCAATCATGAGGTGTATTTTCCTGAGTCCAGCATTTGTTACTTTCAGGAGTCTCTGAAAAATATACTGATCATATATGCAAAGCTGAACCCGGGGATAAGATATGTGCAAGGGATGAATGAAATTTTGGCCCCCTTGTTCTATGTGTTGAAAAATGACCCCAATGAGGATTATGCGGTAAGTGAATAACATTGTTTTTTGTTTATGAATTTCTAATGCTTTTATGAAACATCACTTCACTGATCATTGGAAAATGACTATGATTGTTGAGGAGGAAAAAGAAACATCTTCCCCATAGTGAAATGAAGTCAACTTATTTTGGTGTGAGTAGTTATTTAAGAAAGAGTAATTTCAGAGTTTTGTAGTTCAGACCACCTGGATTAGATGTCTAGCAGATAATTTGAGAGTCATAGGATTTGAGGTGCATTTGTTTTAATGTACTGTGCAAGACTCAGCATAATAATGAAACATCGAGTTGCTTCTGTTAAACAATTTGGTAGATGTCATAACAAAAAGATGATTCAGATAGATTCTCATGCATTATTAGGGGACCTGATCACCCAAGATACTATGGTGTAACAAGGGAGAATAGATATCAAGTACAAATGCTGAAACAGGGACCTGACTAAGAGGCACATGATCCAGTTATGGTGCTAGAATCAAGAAAGTGGAAGCAACACCTTAATGTAGCAAATTGTATTGGAAACAGTTAGTTTAGGAAAGAAACAAAAGGAATAATGTTAGGAATCTGGATAACAGGCAGGCAGGGTTGGGTGGTTGAGTGGCCTTTCCCCCTACAACTTATGGACCTGTGATAAGCTCACTCATCTTTGTGATTTGTGATGAAACATGCATCTATGTCCATCAAAATCACAAAATCTTACTGGCAGATCTTGGTATGGATGAGGAGTGCACAATCATGCTATTGCGTCATCTATTATTGTGGCTTCTACAATTGCATTAATTTCTTTCCCTTTCTGTTGTTAGGTTGTTACATATTTGCTTTGTTAACTTCATCCATTCAATCAATTGGTTTCTTGATTTGGGTTACTTGGTTACTTTTATTTTTGTCATCGTTATATATATATTTCAAACTTGTACAGGTTAATGCAGAAGCAGATACATTCTTTTGCTTCGTTGAGTTATTAAGTGGTTTTCAAGATAATTTTTGTCAGCAACTTGATAATAGTATTGTCGGCATCCGTTCAACCATTTCAAAGCTGTCGCAGCTCTTGAAGAAACATGATGAAGAACTATGGCGACATCTTGAGGTCACTACAAAAGTAAGAAATCTTATATGTACATTGTAGTTTAATACCATGTGAACCACCTTAAGTTTCCTTTTCAGCTAGAATTAACTGGCAATTGCAGTCCTTTTTACCACTAATCCCAGTATATCCGAAGATATATATTCTTGACTGACATACCCTTATAATTTACAGGTCAACCCACAGTTCTATGCGTTTAGATGGATTACACTCTTATTGACTCAGGAATTTAACTTTGCCGACAGTCTTCACATATGGGATGCACTCTTAAGCGACCCTGAGGGTCCTCAAGTGAGTTAATAAACTCCTTTACTGTCCACATCTGGTGTATTGGGTTTGATGAGAGGGGTGTTTTCGGCCATTTATGTCATGCTTGATAAGGGATGCAAGAATTGCTTGTTGAGAAATACAATGCCATTGACTGCTTGAGCATGTAATCTATTGACATTGTATTCCCTATATACAGTTCAAGAATGCCTTTCTCATGTCAGATTCATGTCACTTTAACGAACCCCCCCCCCCTCCCCCCCTTGAAAAAAAAAGAAATCCAAACAGCAAATTTTAATGATGGTTAGCTGCTTAGCTTTGGTAAGTGTAATGACTGCACATGATGAAGTGTGAAAGCTGAGTGGGTGCATTATGCATGTTGTTGGGTCTGAGATTGGGGTGCGAATCTCACAAGGAACTAAATGTGCAAAGATTTCCTCTGCTTTTTGCAGGGCACTCTGCTTCGTGTCTGCTGTGCAATGCTGATTCTCGTTAGGAGGCGTTTGCTGGCAGGCGATTTCACAGCTAATCTCAAGTTACTTCAAAGTTACCCATCCACAAATGTTAGTCATTTGCTCTATGTTGCCAACAAGCTGAGTTCCCATTCAACTCATTGATTTTGTAGGGTTCTTTTCTCTTTTGTATCATTAGAGTTATAATCGTTCTCTTTAGAATTCCTTATTCTTGTTAGTGGTTTTTATGATCCGCAACATGTAAAATGTCAGTCAATATAGTATAGCATGCAGGGATAGTTTTTTCTTTACATGTTCATCTAAATCCAACTTGAGCATCTGTAAACTATAATACATTTTAATCTGTTGTTATGTTTAGATATCTCAATGGAAGTAGCAAATAGGTGTATGTTGTACTAGTCTAAGCCTGAAATAACAGAATCCATAGGTATTTGTCCCTGCTGTAGGCTGTAGCAAATAATATATGAGAAAAACACCACTGTTTATAACTCTAAAGAACATTTGTGTTTATACTCTAATACATATCTATTCGTACTAAGAATCCAACCAAATCCAAATCCCATTTGTAAAATATACGTCTACCAAAAATAGCCGTGTAGATCGTTCAGCAAGGTTTTGTTGCTTTGATAGGAACTTCACTCCTGGTCTAACATCGGATTTCGGAATAAGAACTTCAGATTTTACTTGGGATTCAGGCATCTTGACATTGATCCTGTAGTTGCATATTTCCCAGATACTAATGCTAAAGAATAATAACCGACCTCAAACCTCATGATTCCCAGATACTGATGCTAAAGAACAAGAACCAACCTCAAAGCTGAAGTAGATTGTAACAAGATCCCTTTGCAAGTAGTTTTGGGCTCATCACCTTGCTAGAAGAGGAACCATGATGATGATTTCCAGTAATATTTGGTCAACTATCCTGTTCATTGCCATTCAAGTTACTGGTCACTTCGTGTTTCATTCGATTTTGTAGCATTTCTGTTATATTATCAGGTGGACATCTATCAGCAGGATTCAATGCTGATGTTTGACAGAAGCACTCGGACCAAGAATTTGTATAAAAAGACTCGGGTGAGATTCGCTTGTGAGGGCCACCAAAGTTCGTTTGCAGCATCACACGCCTAACAGCCTCTTCAAAACCAGCAGTACGGCCTTTTTCCCTGTCGATGAAGATAGGAGCAAGGCCTTTCCTGTCGGGTCGAATTGCTGTGCGAAAACCATGGTAGAGCCGATGGCCCAGAAGGTTATTGGCAAAGTTGCTCGGCCCGTCATATGTTGGCATAAAAATGTCTGATAGAAGACACACCATGTAATCAACAGCAGAACCCAGTAACCCCTGAGTGTGATCTTTAAGCTCATCAGATGAATCCACGGTGCTGTGATTCTCGAGCAGTGGAAACGTGGACCTGAAAGGCTTCATGAATCGCTCGCCACCAAATAATTCACCAGCTGCAAGGTATATTCTAGTGGAATTGTCAAACCCCATTGCGCGTAAGATCAGACCCACCTGTACAATACAAAAAAAAAAGAACACATAAATTTAACGTTGGAAGTCCCACGTAGGCTAATTAAAGTTGGACCCTTTCTCTTCAACATATGATGGAATCTCTTCTCTCTTCAAGAGCTCTTTTGGAGAGTAATCTGATGGGGTTTCATATATTCTCACATGGTATCAATGTCTACCACTCTAATGCATTCACTATGCAAGATAGGATACAACAAAAACTTGTGCTCCAACATTAAACTTGGACAGGATACGATTGAGTGGGACCGAAATGCATTCTCTTGTCCAGCCAAAGTAGGTGGAACAAAAATCAGGGAGATAGGACAATATTGGTAAATTACTAAACTACCAGTGTCAAATTAAAAACCCTAAAACCTTGCACAATTCTTTTAACCACCTAACTCACTATCGCCAGTCACAGTCCTGTCTAATCTAGTTATGTCCACGTACCAAATGCAAAGGGACTTGACACCCTGGGGTATTTGTAGCCTTTGTTGGAGGGTGCATGTTGGATTCGCATATTGGCTAGACTTAAGTCCCACATCACACTTAAAATACATAAGAGCTTCAACTTCAATCCTGCTTTCATTCAATGTTGGAAAAAGGAAGTTAGAGGGTACCTCTTCTGGAGTTAATGGGCATTTTCCAATAGCCCTCCTTTCACTATAAATAAGTTTCTTCTCAGCAAAGTTTTCCTTCCGATACTTCTTCAATATCTTTTGCTCGTCGGGTGAAAATATATCGAAGCACCTGCAAATGGTGACAAACATTTGGACCGAAGCAAACAGAAAGCACAATCTACAAAGCAGATGGTAACTTACCCTGCAAAAGAAAGCATATCCATTTCAAACCGAAGATGTATTGACATGAAATGACCTTGTGAACGAAGTTTATCAACTATTTTATGACTTAATTCCATGATATGTGGCTTAAATATGAGGGCATGATAGTTGACCCTGCATCTTAACCGTTGGTATTCTGGGTTGTTGATCTCTTCTGCCAGTCTATGGGAGAAGGGAGTGAGATAGATTGCACCATGCTCCTTCATTTTCTCCAAAGCAACTGTTGTATACCAACTGATAGGCGCATCTCTAGGTGGTCGAAGCTACAAAAAAGGGGAAGAAAATAGGGGATTTTATGTTCAGTTATTTTCACAAGAACAAAAACTGCATCAACATCACTAATCTTAAGGTTCAAGTATTTTAGAAACATGCCTGAAAAGCTTTTATCTTCTTTGTCTTTCCATTCTTCTTAATTTCAGGAATGCTTTCTACAATCCGAACATCATACTGTAGCGACTTGATAAAATGATGAACATCATAGATACCCTGGAAACCGCTGTGCATGAGCAAGAAACAGTGATTCAAATGTTTACGAGAATGGTATGATGTAAATAAAAGAACCCTCGTCTCTATTTTAGCAATGCCTGACCTTTATCGGTGCATTTGGTATGTGGATGAATTATTGAAGGTTTTGGGATTTTAATTTCACATGGGTTGTTCAGTAATTTAGCAATCTTTCCTCATCTACATTATTTTTGTGCCACCTATTCTGGTGGGACAAAAGAGATGCATTTTGGTTCCGTCCTGTCCCAGTCTAATATCGAGCCCAACATAGGACAAAAAACTCTTTCTACTTTGTCTCATCCCATGTACCAAATGCACCCTAAAAGAACCAAACCAAACGAAAACAACCAGGTGTATTCCACACAAAAGTAGCGTTTGGGGGCTTTCACTGATATATATTTTAAGTGAACATCCATTAACATAGATAGAGATACCTGTCATCGTGCCAATAGGAATTTGCATCCAATTCGGGCAGCACAAGGGTGGCATTCATAATTCGTGCAGCAAGAACCGCATTACAGATCTACAAATCATCACATCCATAGTTTCATGACAATGCAGGTATATATACACCACAATGAAAAGTGTCACAATAATTAACATCTCAATCTATTTCTTTTTAACCTTAAAAATAATGCTAATAAAAGGGATGAAAAAGGAATCAAAGTTTGCCATGAAAGAGGTAGCACTTAGGACCTTAGGTTTTGGTGTTGGTTTAGCGTCAATTTGTGCTCCAACAAAGCCATATCAGAGTAGAACTGGACTTGTATAGTCATTTTGCCATCAACTCTCTTAACTTTCTTTTTCATATAATTTCACTATTAATCCACAAGTAGGGAGGTAAGATGTTAAAACAGAAGACGCCGGTTTCATACAATTTCACTGTTGATGACCAAAATTCAAAACCCCCAACCACCATCTTAAAATGAATGAAACCCATGAGAAACGAAGTCCCAAAACCTCAAACCTTTTAGGATGGCATTTTGAAAGCATAAAGTAAACCAAAACCAACCAATCAAATGAACCCAATATATTTCACTCAAAAATATGGTCCAAGTGAGATGCACACAAACCTGTCCTCCACCTCAAAGGGTAGAACGACGGTCTCCATGAAGACCCACTTCTTGGCATAAACTATTTCTCCCAAATTTCACCAAGTTTAATCCTTACAACCCTTTGGGTCTTAACTTTTACCATGTCTATGTCAATCTGGACCTACAACGTGCATGAAAAAGTTCCTCCATGATTGCCCTCAATTATCTTGGTAAAGAAGCAAAAAAGTTTTACCTCTTTTAACTAAAGCCTATTTCTTAACTTTGAAGTCATATAAGAAACATACCGCTGTCCTTTGCTGATTCAGACCCCCATTACAACGGACGCGCAGATACCCATTACTCGTACTTGGAGGAGCTACAAATGTTAGAGATTAAGAACTGATGATCAATACAAACTATTAACTATTAAGCTACCAGAACTGTAGGCAAGTTGTAAACATATCAAGAATACCACAAGTACATACGAGGCCAGTGAGATCTTGGAACAGATGATGGTCTCCAACCACCAGAATCAGCAGCATCCCAAAGTTTATTCACATCAACCTGTGGAACTCAAAGTCTATAAGCTAATGGGCTAAAAGATATAGGAATGGCTTACTAAACAAAACCATATCAACATTTTGCATCCAAAAGAACAAAATCGACACAAAAACAGAAAATCAAAAAATAATATAAAACCAATCATCTTTTGGTGAAACTGTTGCAACCATATTAAAGAATCTATCTACAGCATCTAGATTTTGCAATCAAATTAACAACCATCTTTCGTCTTTGCTCCTACAATCTGCCTCATGTGCACTTAGACAATGTATGGTATGACATATGTCCACCTATTGACAAATATAAAGGCATAGCAAATCCTGTAGTCATTTGTACTAAAAAAAACAAGTAAGCATAATTCCCCCTAGATAATAAAATATGTTTCCATCCTTAATGTCTTATATCACTTCTTCCATCCTATTAATATTAAGTAAAATTTGCATCAATAGGTTCAAGAGATTCTTCTATATCCTACCTATTCTCATACACTCTCCCCATAAGTATCAATCTTGTTAATATATGCATGTCACTTATGTTCACTTATTAACTTGCATAATCCGACAAAGACTAGACAATTTTAACTACTCTCTTGACGGCTTTATTCTCTAGCAATAAAACCAAAATGACCCTGTAAATCCCACACGGAAATAGGGTCTCTAAGGAGTAGAGAGGCTGCTTTCGTTGAGACCCTTGGCTCACGTTTAGTCTGTAGCAATCATTGTGTACTAATTTCTAGTATGAACCATTCTTAATGAATTAATGACCAATGTTTCAATCATACATTGCAACTTCTAGCAATGAAAAGGCAGAAAATCAAATGAAATCACAATTCGATGAAAATGTGGCACATTCAACTTATTTGTATAATGCCTCAGCACATGAGCAAGAGATAGAGCTGATCCAAGAACCTCTGAATCTACTGAAACCAACAAACATGACATTCGGAATCACAGTCGAATGAGAGCCTACAACAACAGCAGCTCTTCAACATTCGTACTCAGAATGCAAGATAAGCCAAATACGATCAAGCAAATTCAAGAATTCAAAACAAAAGCAAGTGTTGGTTGCTGAAGGAAAAAAAGGAATCGTTAAGAATTGACCTCAGATGGGAAGTCTGATGATGATGAACTAGTGGTGTAGAAGTAGAAGAAGTAGAGGGCTGAAGAAATGAGTAAAATGGCTGCAATTGAGAGTTTGACGAACAGTCCCTTGACTTGCTTCAGCTGATGTCGGTTATGATGCACTCTTTTGAGCGTCGTTCCTTCTCCAGGCCTGTAAACACACAAGTTAGTTTTGATACCAGTAACATTAGATCAGCCAAATCACACACATTGACGAACAGATTAGTGGATGTTTTGTGTTATACCTCCTCATTAGTCGAGATTGATGGAATACCTAGATCGAACTTTGATGTCAGTCGAGAAACAGAGAGATTTGACGGTGGATCTGATTATGGGTGATGGTGGGATGTTCAAGGCACAAATTAATGGAGACTGGGAGTGAATCGAAAGAATTCTAGTGTTGGAGGTTAGAGAAATAGTGTGTGTGTGTGTGTTTGGAATTCGTGTCAGAACTAAAAGCTTTGGAACTTATGGGGCCAAAATGAAACATATCAAAGTTCGGTGTTAGAAAAATAAAATCGCTAACCAAAAACTCGCATTCGAACATTTCGAAAACCCTTCTCCGACGTCAATGGCCAGCTCACGGTTGCTCCTCCGTTCTCCAACCCTGAGAACCATATTTGCTGCTCACCGGAACCAACCACACCGATCTGTCTCCACCGTTTCCCAGCCGTCTCATCACAATGATCACCAACGCAACCAAGAATATCTCTCCCCCAATGATTATCTCAACAGCTGGAAACCACCAAAGGATCCCAAGGAGGCTCAAGCGAAGCTCAACCAGCTCCGTCGTGACTATGCGAAAAAGGTTAAAGCGGTTCGCAAGGAGTACATCCATGAAATGGAGCTTCAGAGGGTCGAGAGACAGAGGAAAGACGAAATCAGGAAGGAAGCTCTGAGGATTGAAAGCGAAGAACGTAAAGCTGCTAAAACCGCCGAGAAAAAGGCCAAAGCCGCTGAACGTCAGGTTGCTGAGGAGGAGTTCCGGCGAACTCTGGTATGTGGATTTCCTTTCATTACTTTAAAAGGATTTTGATGCATAAACTGGATCCGATAAATTCTGCTTTCTTTTATACTGGTACATCATTCGTCACTTTCTCGTGTTCATCTAGATTTGATCCACAAAGTAAGATGGAAACGAAATTAAATAAACCAAACTGAACGAACGCTAATTTTGATTGCTAATCAGGAAAATGTACTATGATTCTACTCATCCAAATAGGATTTAGGGTTCTATGGGTAGCATACATTATCATCCATGGGATATAGAACTGGTATTCAGACTCCTGTATCACATGTTTTAATCACTCTTATCTTCAATGTCGTCCCCTGCAATAATGCAGATTACCCAAGATGAATGCAGGCACTGAGACCCATTGATCGGGTTCTTTTTTCCTAATTGAATCCACTTTTCAACCCGACTCACAGATTTAAAACATGTAAGCACAGAACTTGCAAGCTAGGTGTCCATGGCGTCAACCAAGATGATGTTTTGACATCATAGCTCCTTCCCTAGCAACCTTAATGCCTGGGTGACATCTTGATAATTGTGCCACCATGGTCAAATTACATCAAAACAATCAGCTGTTTAGACATTGGATGTGAATAATACGATTAGGGTAGCATATTGTGTTTAAGGACATGTGGCAACCGAGGTCATAGGAGCTGTAGCAGGTGAATAAAAGTCTCCTGCCCCCAAATAAAATTGTATGAAATGAAATAATTGGGTCTTCACATAGTTGACAGAACAGGGAATGGACATGAAATTTAGGGATAGCAGATTTTTATTCATAGCAAATACGTTGGAGGACGATTTAACAAGTCACGCACTCATATTCCAGAAATACAGAAACAAAGAAATTCCAAGGTAGAAGTGCCAAAATAGAATGAGCTAGAAAGGGCATCAAGGTCCTAGGATAGGTAAGTGGGGTAGTTTTTGTACAAGGTTTGTCAGGATCGGTTCTTTTGGCTCACTTGTTATGTTGTTTCGGACTTCCCTTTTGGCTTTTATTCCTATAACATGTTATTTACTCCGTGTACATGCTCTACTCGCATGCCCTGGAGGACCTTCATGAAACAGCTTTTACCCATTGGGGTAGAGAAAAGGAAATGCCTCGTACATCTTACCTTCCCTGTAGCCACCCCATTTCTTGTGGATTTACTGAGTTCGTTTAATTGGAATTTTATTAGTTGGTGGTTATGATGGTTGAAATTTGTGTGGGTGCAGTTAAAAGAAAGAGGTGAGAAGCTTGAATATCATAAAAAGAGAGAAGAAAAGATCATGGAGAAGAAGAAAGGGAAGAATGAGATATTGCGTCGTCAAAGTTCGATATGGATCGATGAAGATGAGCTGGAGAAGAAGATAGGTGCTGCCATTACTGATGCTACTCCCCTGTGATTTAAAAACATTTTTTTTTTTTTGGTTTTACAAGTTACAACTCTTGACATAATGGCCAACAAACTCAAGTCATGGTTCTGTAGTGCAAGACTAACACTGTAGATGTGTTTTAAGCTCCTTCACTACACATTGGAGATGAGTGATTATTGATTTTGGATTACGAACTTGGTGCTAAATGCTATCCATTTTCATTTACATCAACAAAGAATATCATGATTTTCTTTATTTATACAGGTTATTTAGATATATAATTTTAATTAAATTTATGAACTTTTAAAGAAAATAATGGCTTCATAGTTGAAGGTTATATATTTTTGGAAGCTAATGGGGGGTTTAAATTGCCCTTATCTTTAAGGGAGTACCAATTCATGAATCTAACACCACATTTACATAAAACTTGAAATAATGTGCTTACATCGTTTTTATACGCGACTCTTCCAAATTTTAGTCTAGAGTCAAATTCTCAGCAAAAAAAGTCAAATTGAAATCAATCCTGATATAATTTAAACAAAAAAAGAAGTTCCATTGGATGTAACAACTTCTTTCATATTTTATACCCATCACATATCTTTTGTGTAATTTTTTCTTTTCCCTAATGAGCAAGATTAGAAGTGTTATTTATTTCAGCAATTTACCCATCAAAATGGATAAAAAGTAATAAAACAAGTATTCATTCACTACACTACATGAAAACAAAAACAAATTTGCTACATTTTGATATATTTCGTTCGTTGAGGCTGCATTTGGTAAATGGGACGGGAGATGACAGGACGAGACGAAACTCATTGTCCCATGTTTGGCGCAGCATAGGACAGAACAAGAACTCACTGTTCCACGTTTGGCGTGACATGGTACAGGGACAAGAATTAGGACAAGGTGGGACAAGAGACTTTTTCTTGTTCCACCAAAATAGGTGGAACAAGATGGGACAAAAATGTGCCAGAAACTAAAATATTACTAATCTACACTAATTTGATATATAACTTTAATATGATATTTGTTTTAATAGTCATCACCGCTAGTTTCGGTCACCACCAGCGGCGATCACCGGCGGCCACCTCCACCTCCATCTCCTCTTCCACTACAACAACATCCTCCACTGCCTCCACAACCACCGTCCACCATCTCCATCACCACCTCTACCATAGTCGACCACCGACCACCACCGTCCATTGCTACCACCACTACCGTAGTTCGCCACCTTTAACTCCTCCTTTATCACCGTCCATTGCCACCTTTACAACCACCATCTGCCACCGACCACTACCACTGTTGGCCACTCACCACCACCACATATTGCCACCACCACTACCACTGTTGGCCACCTTCAAATCCTCCTACACCGCAACAACCTCCTCCATGACCTCCACAACCACCGTCGACCACTATGCATTGCCACCTCTACAACCACCTTCGGCCATCGACCACCACCACCACTAACACCGTTGGCCACCTCCAACTTCTCTACTGCAACAACCTCCTCCACGACCTCTACAACCACCATCAGCCACCACCATTCATTGCCACCTCAACTCCACCACCACCGTCCATTGCCACCACCACTAACACCGTTGGCCACCTCCAACTTCTCTACTGCAACAACCTCCTCCACGACCTCTACAACCACCATCGGCCACCACCATTCATTGCCACCTCAACTCCACCACCACCACCACTAATCTTCACTACATCAGCCACAACTACCTCCTCCACCGTTGTCAACCGCCATCACCACCACAATCTACCATCTTCATGTCCTCTATAACCACCGTCATCCACCAACCACCACTGCCTCTACCTCCACAACACCGTCGACCACTGACCACCACCGCCCTTTGCCACTACTACCGCTGGCCACCACCACCTCCATCATAACCAAAACCACCTCCACTACCACCACTACTACTACCATCAATTATATCAAAATTTTCATTTAAATTTGGTACCATTATATATGTATGTATTCATTTATATGAAAATTGTGTACAAATATTTATAAATTATATTCTTTAATTATTTACTTTTTGTGTTAATTATAACTATTATATAATATTTTAAAAATCATCAAATAACTTTTGGAGGTAGCTTGTCTAATTCTGTCGTACCAAACACCAGACATACTCTTGTTATGTCCAGTCCTGTTAGTTCAGTCTTGTCCAGTCCTTTCCTCTTGTCCTGTCCAATTCTGTCCTGTCCAGTCATGTCTGCGTACCAAACGCTAGGTGAAGGAACAGCTTTCGGATAGAAAAATGGAAAATGGCTACAAAAACACCATATTACCAAGTACCAACCACCATAACTGAATTAACCAAAAGTTGCAAACATTAACAAGTTTCGAAACTACATTTATATAAGCAACGTCACCAAGAGTAGTGTTTCTTGACTTATCCACCAGGTTCTTTTGTTGTTCAAACGGTACATTGCATATGTGAAAATGTCGAAAAAGTAAACAGACTTGACATGTATGTTGGATGAAAAATGTGGCAGAACACATACTCTATTTGCAAGTGTTCATCGTATCGATCCATCAGATATGGATGAAACCTTGCAAACCCCAGCAGATGTGGTAAATGGTAGATCTTTAAAGCAAGCTACAAGTTCCTTGTCTGTATGTAAATCCACTTGTAGTGTCTCCCAAACCTTCTTCTTAGGGTTCAGTACATCATCAGGCTGACCATCAAACCCAGGGAAAGTAACTCTCTCCCCAACAGCAGCAGACTCGGGTGGCTCAACCAATTCAACCTGAAATTACGTTCGTGCAATCAGGCTCATAGAAATGTTTTCTGGGTTTTGGTTGTATGGACCGTAAAACAATAGCAATCATGCCATTTATATATTACGGAAAAACATCTTACTATAGTTATGAGTAAATGCGGTTAGAGTTTGTGATATAAACAAAATGCAACAGACACCCCACCAATAGGAGCAATCCAAGTGCCCCTAGGGCGTTGGTTCTAGGGTGATATACTTGCACAAACAGGCAAGGCTTCGAGTCTAGCAGCATGCAGTGTGGGAATCACACATTTTTGGGGGATTGGGCTCCTTGTGGGCACTCGGTTCTTAAGTCAGACACCTAACGGGTCGTTGTGTAGCTGATTTGCCCTCCCACAATACTATTTGGCATGAGACATTGTGGGCCGGCTAGGGGGTTGTCGGTTAAAAGACCTTTTGCACAAACCACTGATAAGTACTTATTTCTGTAAAACACCACTTCACTGATTTCACAAGATATGGCTCATGGAACTACAAAAACTAATAGTTGACAAGTCGGAGGTCTTCACGTAAACAACCACTCCACTCTTTAGGATAAAGGTCAGGTCTACGTACATCTTACCTTCCCCAGATCCACCTCTGGATGGGAGATAATGGGTTCGTTTGGCTTGGTATGGTTTATCCTATCAGGCGAGCACCTCATTTTTGGCAGCAGGTTTGTAAAAATATCTGTTCTGGTTATGGGAAAGGGCTAAATGATTTTACTGATTTGGAGTCAACTGGTGACGTGTGACAAATGTGGAAAAGTGCGACTTATAGATTGGAATTTGTCATATAGTTTAGAAGGCACCACTGATCCTCCATCTACTATTGTATAGTTAGAGAATGGTCACATTAACAGGAAAGGAATCGATGAAACATGACTATAGCATTGCCGCTAGCGGACATTATTCAGGTGCCCTATTTACAGAATTATAAATTACTTACCTTGGTGTGATCACTAGTGTTAGCACAAAGAACCATCGCATGTGATTTAATGCCCCGCATGGTTGCAGGCTTTAGGTTGCAGAGAACACAGACCTTCCGGTTCTGAGGAAAAAATAAAGAAAATTGTGAACCCCCATGAAAATGATTCTGATGGATCTCTTAAAATGCATGCAAGCAGCTAAACAGAACCTGCATCTCCTCAAGAGGTATAAATTTGACAAGCCCGCTAACAACGGTTCTAGGCTGCTCTTCGCCAACATCAATTTTTTCCACGTACAAAGAATCAGCATCAGGATGCTTCTGAACTTCCTTAATAACCCCAACACGGATATCAAGTCTACTGATCGTTAGTTCCTGCTCAGCAGCAGCCTTAGGTTTGGATTCAGCAGCAGATTTCGCGGATTTCTTTCCACTTTTATCTGCAAAAACAAGGAATACAGAAAGCAACTTTTAAAAGAACCCTTTGCATTGATCAGCAAATATAAGTAATAATGGCCTCCATCCTAATCCCCCAATTAAAATCAGGTGTAAAATACAAGCAACCACCATAACATTTCAAAAGCTGTATGGGGGTCTTTAAGAACAATCTGCAACCCAAGGATTCTCTACCATGCAGGAATAGAACAGAGTATGTAACAAGTACGCCAGATCCAGGTCTGTATGAAAGATAGTTTCACTATTTATGAATACCACTGGACAGAGTTATAGTTGAGGAGCTAGCCATCAAATAGAAACAGGATGGATGAAAAAATGAAATCCATTAGTAGTCCCACTAGATGTAAACCAACAGTAAATGCAAGGTAAAATTTGTAAACATCAAGGCAGTATGTAGCACCACTACAAGATAAGTGTAAGAGAAACATTGCATCCCAGCGCAAGCTAAAAGACAAATTATGATCTGTCAAAGATGTTTTATGTTTCTAATTGGTATAAACAATAAATGAATAATCACAAAACCCATTGAAACTTGATTTTAAAAAGTGTAAGCATTAATCCAATTAGACAATAAATTGAACTCATACAGACCCAGAATGGATGCAGAATATAATAACCAAAATTATCAGCCTTGGTAGAAATAAATATTCAAAAGGAACAACTATGCTTTAGTTCAATTCCTTGCAATTGGATGAGAGACTATAATCAAGAGAATTTTAGGAACAAGGGGTTTACAGCATGGAACCCAACTCACTTTATGCATACAAACAGACAACTAAGCCTCATAGATTACAGAAAATGGAATGAGGAATTAAAGTGCAAGCATAATAGAAAGTCGGCTGTTACAGTAATGATGGTTGAACAAGTTCTAAAGTCAATTCATCTGGAAAATTTTCAAAAGGAGAATTTTTAATAAAACACCAAAGTATTAAATGTCAGGATAAACTCTTTCCTGGATCAAAAATGTGATTGCCTTAATACTTTAATATACACCCAAAAATATACCTCTCTAATAAATTTCAAAATTTGCAATCATGGTTATATTCCATTGCCAGTTCATGTGCTCCAGTGTCATTTCAAAGTTCAAACTTAAACAGACTGAGCAGATGTCAATGCCCGACTTGCAGATGCCTAATGGAATTTCACAAAAAACTTGGAAAAAGAGAAAGTATATAGTAATGTGCACATGAGAGGATGTACTATAGTTCTGATTTGTTACCAAACAAGGGTAAACTATATTCAAAGTCTTATAAATAAAATGTAGAATATGACCATCGGATAACATGGATAACATGTGAGAGGTGTCTCAAGTTTCAATTAGTAACCAGGGTGGGTAAGCTATGCCACATCTTAGAAAAAGGATAAAACTAAATAAATGATGCAAAAGATGAAACAGGAGCAGCAAAAAAAAAGTTGAGTAGCACTGATAAAAATGAAAATGTAACAATCACCTGAAACTTTTGTGTTCTTCAACTTTTCAGTAATTTTCTTTGCTTCAGCTTCTTCCTTCACAGCCCGATCTGCACGATCAGCTTGACTGCCAGCAAACTTATTCCTGAAGAACTCCACTTCTTCATCTTTCTGCACATCCCAAAAAGAAAAACAGAACACAATTACAAGATCAACAAGCAATTGCTGTCACTAGGCCACATAGAACAAGCAAAGAGAAACAAATACGAAACCACAACAGAACAGCGTACCAATTCCTTAAATAATGGCACAGGGGTCCCAATTCTGTGGCCAACAGGTATGATCTGCCAAGGACTATTGGCCCTTGCAATATCTCCTTTATCATCAGAAAGGGATAGTTGAAGAGGCAAATTAAGCTGCTTTAGTACCTGTAGCAAACAAATTGAAAGAAAAGTGTGAAGGGATAAAAATGATCTTTTACACTAACATCATGCCTTTATTCGAAAAAACTTCCAAATAGAACTGCAATCTACTTGCCTCTATGGAAAATGATGGCATAAAAGGTTCTAACAGGCATGCAAGAAGATAAACTACTCCCACTGAAGTTCTCATGACTATGGAACAGGAAGGGAGATCTTCCTTGTAAAGCTTCCAGAATTGACTTTCCTGTATGAGGAAATACAGAACCACAATCATTAGGGATAGAAGAGTGTTAAGTTTGTTGGGCTTTTTTGTTTGATGAGAGGCCATCAACTATGCTTAAAATAGAAACTCGATAATTTAAGAGCTGCAACCTTGTGGACTTACTTGTAGATATGCATTTCCCTCGCCAGAGATACTCATTGCAATTTTTAATCCTTGCTTTAGCTTGACCTATTGCAATTGCCAAACAGACATTTTTTAAAGATGAAATCAAGCCATAGTGTTTATATATTCCTGTATAATGACTTACTTTCTCCATGGCCTCTACATATTGGTCAACATAGTTACCAATTTTCTCTCCTAGTGCTTTTGTTAAGAGATGTGACTCTGCACCTGGAGCATCAGGAATTATGGAATTGTATCCTGAACCCTTAGCAGATCCTGAGTCTGTCCATGGATTACAGATATTGTTCAGATGCAATTGAAAGGATAAAATGGAGCATTCTACAACATAATAGTCAGGAGCCAGGATAAAGACTTCAAAAAAGACAGACCCTTGATAGAGCTGTCATGTTTGTATAAGCGCAATATTTATTTCAATGTTCTAATAGTGGGTCATGGTATGTATCCTGAAAGAAAGCCTTTTCCCATTTTGAAAAGAGACGAAAAAAGTATATGCAAAATTACTCAGAAGACAGGGGATGAATTAGTCAGATAGATCATAGAAGGTTGAAAAAAGAAGAAAAAACAGGTATAAAATAATTCACACAGCAACAGCAATGATAAAACATGTTAAGAAGCAATCATGATATTGTTGACAAAAGTAATAATTAGGTTCCAATGGTACAAACTAACCTGGATCTTTAGCAATAAAGCTCAAGACACGATTGATGAAATTGCCTAAATTATTTAGCAGTTCGCTGTTTAGCTTTGCTTGCAAATCTGCCCATGTAAATAATGTGTCTGATACCTAGACATAGAAACCCATTAAAATAAGGAAAATAGAGAGTGAAAAACAGATTGGAAATTACTGACGATGAAGATCACTTATCCATCATATATTAAGAAAATGCTTTTACCTCTGGCCTATTGGTTAACAAATAATATCGCCATACTTCTACAGGAATGTTTGTATCCTTAGCGTCATTTCCAAAAACTCCAATACCCTTACTCTTGGAGAATTTTCCTACACACGGTACCCAAACAAAAATAACGACGCCATGATGCAGCAAGCACAATACAGCACCCATACATATGATAAAGAAATCAACAAACAGATCTGACGGACAATTCTAAAGCCAAAACCATAATTCCTGGCTACAATTGAACAAACCTGCCTCATAATTTAAGTACTCTGTAACACTAATAGTCTTCATCAGGGTCCAGTTCTCTGCAGTCCCAAGAAGTGTAGAAGGAAACATTACCTGAAATAAAATAAAAAATCAAAGTTACAGAGAAATTAAGGTCAAAAGTATGCAGAAAAGGTTTTTGATCCTCGTCAAGATATCCTGACACAATTTATATATAAAAAAATTGAAAGTACAAAATGAAGAAACATTCATGGAAAGAACTACATGATGGCTTCTCTATTCTTGGAAGAAGCAATAAGAAATAGTAGGATTGAAGCATTTACTAAACAGATGAGCATGAGAAATTATAGAACTGGAAGTACCAACTAGATCTCCAAATCCTTTAATGGTAAAAGATACGTATGAAAGCAATATCATGCATAAAACATTTAAGATAACCATTAAAATTTCCCTCCATGGGTAAGATAATCCCCGTTTTTGCAAAGACAACTACGAATAACAATATTGAAGAAATGGTACCTTAAAAAAATACACTTACAGTGTGAAATGGAACATTGTCCTTGCCCATAAATTGATATAGCTCCACATTTTCAGGATTTTTCCACCACTTCTCCCACTCAGGTGTGTAGCATTTAGTAATTGAGACATACCCAATGGGTGCGTCAAACCATACATAGAAAACCTAAATAATAACAGTAATAAAAATATGATAAACCAGAAAACACACCAAAGAAAGACTGCTTGGAGACTGCTACTTAGACAGCTAAGAATAAAGTCATTAACTAAAAAATACTATTTTTTACCTTGTCTTTGAATTTCTCAAGAGGGACAGGGACACCCCACTTCAGATCTCTAGTAATACACCGTTGCCTCAATCCTTCTTTAAGCCATGCATTTGTTGCATGAATGGCATTCTGACTCCATGAGCCAGCCACTGACATGGTGCTGATGTATTCACGCAGTTTACCTTCCAACAAAGGGAGTTCAAGGAACAAGTGGTCTGTGTCACGGATTCGAGGGCTGGTTGCACAGACCTATTTGCAGAATAAATGAGTTATACAGAGGAACCAGAAAAGAGAGAGTTAGTACAATATGTTTTAAGTTTCCAATGTTCAGTTTTCCTGATTCATAGAAAACGAAATACCATTAAGAGTGAGCAATCAAGTCCCTCCCTAATTTGCCCCCTATTTTGCGAGTGCGTATACAAAATGTTGAAAGCCAATGCATATCGCTTCTTTCAAAAAAATTAGTTATCATGTTTGAAACAGTATAAAATATGATCGTATGTGTGAAAGTTAAAGTTAACAAACCATATAAAAGTAGTCCCCTCCCAAGCATGCTTGCCAAAGATAACTTAGGAATGCAAATTACTATAGAAATAATTAACATTGAATTTTTTCTCGAAAGCACCTGATACTCTGATACACGAGATCTCAAACTAGTCCCAGAAAAAATGCTCTAACTCAATCTTTTAAAATCCATTTATGGCAAAGAATCACATAGCTCTTTTTCAGCTCAATTTTCCTTAAAACGTTATCACAAAATTGCTGGGATTGGCTTAATAAATCCCAAGGTAATGGTCCTCAGTCCTCACTCACAAAGTCCACCCTTATCCACATTAAAAGATAGAAACAAGACCATAAGGTAAAATAAGCAAGATAACTATTTTTACAATAAAATCAATTGTCTGATAAACAGATTTAAATTTAACAAAACAAGAGAACGGTAAATTTACCTTGCATCTGGGACTGATGAGTTCTGTTGGATTTAATAGCTTGCCACATTTTTCACATTGATCTCCTCGTGCAGAATCATAATTACAACCTGGTGTTGGGCAGGATCCTTCTACAAGCCGGTCGGCTAAAAACTTATTGCATGTATCACAGTAAAGCTGCATTGTGAAAAGAAGATTCGAGATTTATTGACTCTCTCTCTCTCTAATAGAGCCTAAAGGTATGAGGTAGCCACGGACCTGCTGCATTGTATTCTCAGAAAGCCAATTATTCTCCATCAACTTTTTGAAAATTGCTTGGCAAACTTCAGTTTGCTGCGGAGTTGAAGTTCGTCCAAATTCATCAAAACTAATATTGAACCAATTATATACGTCCCTGTGAATTGCATGATACCTGAAATGATAGGGAAACGGGCAGGAATGAACTTATTTACAGAAATATCAAAATCATAAGTCAATTACTAGTCACAAATCCATCATTCTTGATAATTATTTATGAATTCATCAAAAAATGGAATAGCATGAAACGTAAAACTTGATTACTTGTCGCAAATTTCTTTAGGAGTGCAATTTTCTTCCAGGGCCTTGGTCTCGGTAGCTGTTCCATACTCATCAGTGCCACATACGTATATCGCGTTGTATCCCCGCAGTCGACAATACCGAGCGAACACATCCGCACTCAACACACCTACATGCAGCAATAATTTAACTAAAATTCAACCATTTCCACACCAAAAAAATTGAACTATACATGCTGCACTTACAGCCAATGATGTTTCCAAGGTGAGGAACATTGTTGACATAAGGGAGGGCACTGGTAATGAGGATGTTTCGTTTTCCCGGAATCGGAAGCTTCGTTGCTTTCCGATCCTCTCCGCCGCCGATCGGAATGTCTCCCATCTTAGGTACTGGAGACGATTTCTTACACCGATAAATTAGGGTTTAGATTTCAGATTGAGAAAGAAGAGAGCACTGGAGTATCAGTATCATGTGATGCAGCCGGAAGGGATGAGTTCATGAGTCGTAGCATTAGGGTAAAGCATAGAACAAATAATTATAAGTAACCACTAAACTATGAAAATATTCGACTTTGACCACATAACAATTTCTATTTTCAAGTTTAGGGTTTTTACTTCCAAAAAGTTTCAATTTAAGCCATGAACATGTTCGAATATTAGGCTGCATTTGTTATACGGCACGGGATCGAACATAAACATTTTGTCATGTGTTTGCTAGACAATAAACTTGGCATCCAAATACAATAATAGAAAAGAACGAGATATTTGAGATAATTTATACTGAACCGATCCAAAAATCCGATTTTGTAATGTAGTCAGAAGGAAAAAAAATGTTTGACTGATTCGAAGGCCTGCAGTCTGGTATCACCCAAAGCTCTAAACAGGTTCAAAAATATAACTACACAATTACATTAGGATTGTTGTAGATCCTCGAGATCTCTAAAGAAAATACATGTGCGCATTTTGTAGTATATGTAATATTTAACAACGAAGTGTGTTCGTTCCGATCACATCATCTAGCTAAACTTCCTTATAAACCCACATTTTAATCCACTATTGATACACGTTATTATCCCGTTTGGCATCACCCAAAGCTCTTAACGGGTTCGAAAATAGTTAAACAGAAGTAGTTAACGTCAAACATGATTTCATGCATCGCACTTAGAAACCTTTTTTAAGGCGTTTGCCATTTCTTCGGCCGTAGTTCCATTAACATAGACAATGAGCGGGCTCTCTCCAGGAACTATGTCCTCTTTTAAGTAGCTACCACTGCTTCTAAGCAACTCTTCGGAACCCTTTTTCACAACTCCTTTTATGATAACCGTTTTGTGGGTGCCTGATATCATTTCTTCGTAATCTGTGTCGCCAGTTTCCCCAAGAACCACGTACATATTTGCAACGTTTAATCTCCAACGGACGAAAAAGTACCTATTCACCATTACAGAGGTAGTTTGACTATAAGTTATAGGATTTGATTCTTGCATAAGAATTATAATTAAAGTTTAAGGATCAGAACTCAAGATTTGTGATTCCATTATCTGATTGTTGCATAATAAGTAAAAGAAGACAACTTTGATATAGCTACAAAGATCAAACTCTGGACAAGCTCCTTCAGACATTTCAGCTATGTTTGGCAAAACGACAAACTAGCTTATAAAAGTTAGTTGTTGGCCAGAAAAACTAGTAACATTTGGTAAAAGCTAGCTAATAAGCCAGATGACAATGTAAAATAACCTAACAAACTTTTGGTCATTTATGTAAAATAGAAAGGGCATAATTGAAAATAGTGAAAAAAGCCCCGTGTGTTTATTGAAATGCTACTTGAAACAACTTCTCAAAATCATTCGCATTCAAGATGTAGTTAAAGCCTATAATTTACTAGACCCATTTTACCTAAGGGCTTGTGCTCGAGAGGCAAGGAGAGGAATGACTTGCATTCTTGTTGAGTTTCTACAATACATAACATGGCACCGTAAACCCCTCATTCTAAATTTTTGTCTCAGATCATCCACTTTCTTTGCCTGCAAATGCAAATACAAAACAAGATTCACGTTATAAACCAAACCAAACAAACCCAATATGTCACGCCTAAAACCCAAAGAGTTGAATAGTTGATCCCATAACATTTATAAAAATGGTTAACTATATAGATCAGATTCATACCGTCTTAACATTTTTTATCAGGTACGATAGGCAATGAGAGTTGCTCGATTTTACATCTTCTTCGATCTGTTTGGAAGGTTTTCCAGATTTTGCATCTTCACCTTCAACTGTATTCATTAGTTTACAAATGGTTTTCTTTAAACCATCAGAACCCCATCTGTACTCAACATGTGTGGCATAATCAGGATCCGGATAGAGTTCACCACCTTCTTCGTAAGTGCCCGGATAATAAACTTCGCTTCCACTGCCACAAACCATAGCATCAAACTCGTTCGCCTTTATTTTCCCAGATTTCAATAAATCCATCAATTCTGATAACGGCATGGCCGTGGATATGGCAACACCGGTTACTTTTTCCATTTGTGCGTCTAATTTAATCGCCTTAAACGTCTCTTGTATCATACTAATCATTGTCTTCTCAGGATCTCCATTGTTATCGTAACAATCAACCGCTATAATGATCAACCTTTGTCGCTTCCTTAAATTGGGATACTTATTGGAAGCATTATTGTTAATCTCACCGACTATTTCTGTTGATCCGGGCTTCTTCATCTTGCTCATTAGTCGTTTTACTTGATCTTGAATATCAGCCCCACCATCTAATGACTCGTTAATCGAAGATCTATCTGCATCGATAGAGAGGAACAAAGATGTATCTTGCACATCACGAAGTGAGTCGTTTAAGGATTCTTCACGTGGCATTTCATCTGCAGGCGTGTCGGTTTTCCACATCGGATGTCTCATACGACAAGATGCCACCCTTGTTAGATATGTGCAACAGTGTTCAGGCCATGAGAAAAGGTGTATGTTTTTCCAACCATTTTTCTGGCATTCATGCCATAAATTCTTCTCTGATACTAGTTTAAGTAGAGCATTAGCTATTCCTTGTTGATCATGAGGATCTATTAGTAGCCCATTGTTCAATGCCTGTGATAGTAGATAAATATATAAATAACATAATTATAGGATTAGGAAAAACTAGAAGAAAGTATTTGAGAACCTCGGAACCAATTATTTCTTGAATTATTAATGATGAATAACACTAAATATTCATGAATATTATGTATCATAATGATATTCATGATGAATAACCATAAGCATTTATTAATGATATTCATAATAAATATTTCATGAATAGTTGTTCCCATATTCTCAAAGTTCTCATTTGAACTTGTACCTAGGAAACTATATAAATACTAACATACTATCAGCCTGCAATTGCATGCATATTAGCACTAGTTCTTTATGCAACTTAACTAGAAGAACCAACAGAAACTAGTTCTATTACAAGAAGGATTAAGATAGAATCAATGCATAACTTTGAAGTGGAAAAGAGACAACACAACTTACCCTATGAATATCAACAGGACCACCATTTTTAGTTGCTACCATAGGAAGTCCATGAGCTGCAGCCTATATTGAATAAAAACAGAGGATACCAACTCTTAGTATGTAAGGCTGATTTAGTTAAACGACCTTCCGACAGGAATTTTTTAAATCCAAGACCTTCTAACATGTTTTAAGGATGTCAATGGTTAACAGAAGAATGCCTAGAAACTTGTCAGAAGGCAATATATTTTAACGAACGCTTCTCATGAGATCATTTATCTGAGATGAAAGTGAATTCTATGATTCAAAAAGATCTATCTATAACAACAAACCTCAATCAACGTAAGCCCAAAAGGTTCAACCAATGCAGGATTTATAAAAACTCCCTGTCACAAGAATAGCACAATTATAACCACATGCTACTCTTGTATGCGAACAAGTTAAAAGAATATTATATTGGGTACAAACTTTATTATAAATAATAAACCTTAGTTTTGGCAGCAAGACGGTAGATTTCTGGAACATCGTTTTGCTTATGATGCTTAGGGAATGCTACTTGCCCATAAAGATCATATTTGTCCACCAGTTTTAGTACGGTTGTGAGCACACTGGCGTTCCCAGCAGACATCTCATCTATATCATCCCTATTTCCCATTATAAGTGTCTGTATTGAGACACATTCTCTTGAGTCAACAAAGATACATACATACACATACATAAATACAAGTGGGAGGTTCAAATTAGAAGTCTAAATATTATGAAAAGGTAAGAAGGGAAGGTTAAGGGAAGATTCAAATGTGAATCATCGACAAAATTCATTTTAAGACGCATATGTGAACTCATATAAATAATCTGTAACTTCGGTTCACATATGCATCTTCAAATAGATTTTTTCGGATTCTTTCAATGATTCACATATGAATCCTCCCTTCTTACCTTCTCATGATATGTAGTTTTCTTATTTGAACCGCCCTTATATTATACACACATAAACTAAGCCAACGTACTTACAAGATTAGCAAGCTCTCTCAAAGGGTGACATTCTCCAAAAGCCTTCAAAAGAGTAGTAATGTTTTTCTTTGGATCTGGTCTTGACAAGGCCAATATCATTGGTTTATGTGGATTTGTCAAAAATTGCATAACCTGGAAAAAAACATTTTCACTGAGGACCAAATGCACCTCATATATATATATATATGTGTGTGTGTGTGTGTGTGAAATTGACCGTATACGTATTAATAACCATTTATACTCACTTCTGACCATATTGCTGGTACTGCTTTTGGAGAAGACCCTTCTGTGTTAGTCAAGGATAGATCCCCATCAGCCTCATTTGCTTCTTGGATGACATTGCTGAAATCCATCCCAGGAGGAATAACCTGCAAACCGATGATATCGGGTCCTATTCAGTTCCAACAATGATTCTAAAAGATAAATCTAGAGAAAGAATGTTAGAATACGTGGAACCCCAGAGCCCTTGAGGAGAACTTTTTTTTGGGGGGGGGGGGGGGTCCAACATATATTGAAGAGAAAGTGCTCATGTTTAGCCAATGTGGGCATTCAAAAGAGGCTAGACGAGCAAAGATATCCTAGAGTGTCGAATCCTAGGCAAAAATGTACCTATGGTAAACCATAAATCTAGGGACTCTACACCCCGTGACAATTTGTGCCCATCTAGCCCCCTTTCGACACTCTGGAACAATTTTTGCCCATTTAGCCTCGTTGGAGAGGGGTGTTGGAGTCCATTGGTTAGAGTTGGACCATTTTTCCTCCATACAAGTTGGAACCTCACATCTCTCCTTGATAGCTCTTTTGAAAAGTAATCTAACAGGGTTCACGTATTCTCACAAAGAAAATAAAGCTCGTATGAACTAGAATCATTATACAAAATATAAGAACATTACCGCCATCCTTGGCATAAAGCGTCCATGGCAATTAACACCATGTCTAGCACGAGCACGTAAAACTTTCTCAAGTTTGACATCGAACCCATCATACAATCCCCATTGTTCATCAATTTCTTGTCTGGTGCTTGTAATAACGAGTTCAGCCGCATCTAGTGAAAGTTCTTCTGCTTCTATCCTCTTCATAATCTTGTAAGTTGAATTAATATCTTCTTTTGACTGTCTGCCTTGCTTTAAAAGCTGCTCTAGCTTGTTTCTACCAAGGGAATGCCCGGTTAAAACCATGGGAACATTTAGAGCACCCGAAAGAATAGCTGCACTATCTCCTGCATCTGCATAATGACCATGAATTACGTATGGCCAAATTGGATGACCGCCACCAATTTGTTCGCCCAAAACTGTCGACATATTAAGAATGTGTGCAAGTGCTCCATCTACGAATTCTTGTATATGAGGCCAAAGTAATTCTTTGCGAAGGTATTTGTCACGAGGGCCAAATGGTATCCTTATAATATAAGCTCCACTGCTTTCACCAACATCATCATCGGCATCTTCAGAATTAGTTGTAAGCATCTCAGTGGGTTCTCCGTAACTCCAATCTACTTCAGGTGAAGACACTTGGCGGGTGAAAAGATCAACTCTATACACCCCAGGCGTTCTAGCAAGAGCTCGAGCAAGCTCTACAACATACTTGATCTAGAATTCCAGATGAAATAAAGGAAGCCATCAGGAGAATAATTCATGACTATGATTATAAGATGGAAAACTCGTTTTCATTTATACCTGTCCACCGGTATCAGAATCGCGTCCAAGCTCCATATTTTCTCCACGAACCAAACCATGCAAACTGTTTGAGAAGATAAGTTATTTCCGTTTCTATATCACCACAACGGAATTGGCCAAATACATCTAAATATCGTAATGGACCGTTTTACATGACTTAGGTTTATAAGACCAAACAATTTTATGTATTATGTAAAGGTATTACAATAACTCAATAACACATTTTAGGCGTCCGGACAAGTTTTTAAGACACTTTTGAAATAAAGCGTGGTTATAGAGTTTTTATATGATATTATATGACAAAGGTTCTTGCGAAAACAAGTGTCCATTCAAAAGTTGTACCATAGGACACTCTTAAGGACGTTCAAAAGAGTCTTATCAACCTATTGTACACACTTTTACATATAATACACAGTTGTTTTGTTGTATAAGCTCAAGTCTTGTAAAACAGTCTACAAAATAAACATATTTCACTTCTTATAAAACCAATATTTGTAGTATATGGAAGTTCTAATAAACATCCCAAGTAAATTGAAGTGATACCTGATGAGGATAATGTAAAGCTTCTTCTCTTTTTTATCTTCCGCCCAAATGTCAGATGCTGTATGTTGGTAAGTTTTCGGTGGGCTCTCAAGATCCCCAAGAATATCTACTTTCTCCCCTTCGGACAAGTCTTCCGACATGTCCTCTCTTACGTCGCTTCGGCCTTGTTCCCGTTCCAACCTTCGCTTTGCTATCCTTTGTAAATCTTCCCACTCCAACTATTTGAAGTATAAGAGAATCCACTGGTTAATTCATTCCTTAGTAGCTAATTAACACTTCTACTCGTGATAACTTCAAAGCATACATAATAGTAACTTTCTAAGAGAGCAACAATCGTATCTTTCTTATAACACATCAAGTGTAAGACACTAAAACATAGAAATGTACGTGTACCTAAATACATAATTGAAAGGGGGTATATCATTTGATTTCTTACACCATGAGAATTCTCTGCTTTCTAGACTAAATATAAAGCTTCAAAGAAATTCAAGACTTTCTATTTGGCTCCGACATGAAGTTTTATTGTAAACTAACCGTTAGCTTCCTAAAACGAAGAAAATGAACACTAACGGATGTTAGAGTGAGAGACTTTGACCATCAAACTTGTGGGTTAATTGTAAAACGGTAATCGCAAATGGAATGGTGAATTCACAAAAAGAAAACCATAAGTACCATGGTTGGAAATGTATTTACTCACTGTAAGAGGCATTCAAAAGAAAACATATACATATGCACTTCTTATATTCAAAATTTCTTTAAGAATTCCATCCTTCATATATAAGATTCTAACAATATGTTGTCTAATTTTGATGTACTAGAAATGAAACAAAACTTAAGTGCACAAATAGCCTTTGGATGAATACAAAGTGTTCTACAAGAAACCTGCAGACTTCAAACGAATCATGCAGATTGGATGCAAATATATAAATAAATAAATATATATATATATATATATATATATATAATTGTAGCTTAATTATATGATGAAGATTATTGGTGGAGTCATATGTACGTTAACTAGACTTGAACAATTTCTTCCCAATATATGTTGGAAACTTCATATATCAAAGCGAAAGTCTAACACTCGTGGGCAATATGTATTCGTGGGGTTGTTTTGGAGCTTAATCTGATATACCTGTTTTTTCTTGCGAGTAAGATGCCATATACGCCAACACATGTTTTCGAGACGGGAACTCCGTTCTCTGGTGTTTCGTGTGGCAACCACCTTGATCCATGTCCGGTGTAAATCAGTCTCGTCGACTCCGGTAACCACTTCTTCAACAAAATATTTGGTCGGATTAAAATGACCACGTTCTCGAAGATTCACGCCGCTACTATCCTCTATATTCGACGATTTACTATCCAATATGGCCTCTAAATAACCATTGATCCATTCATTAACTGCCATTTTTCCAATTCATCTATCAAATCAAATCAGCAAAAGAGAAAAACATAAATTAAATTAGTTGATATACATCTGAATTCTTTTTTTCTGAATTCAATTTCATCTCCGATTCCTGTTCCGATGGATTGTTTTGAGAAAACGAAAATGAGAGAAACGAGGAGAGGAGTTTTATTAGGAGAGAGACTCGGGACAGAGAGAGAGAGAGAGATAGAATGGTGTATGTATGTATGTATACACACATACATACATGCATACATACATACAAAACGAAGAGGGTGGAAATTAACCGTGGGGACGACGGTTAGCATTTGCAATTCATACCTGGAAATTTTGATGGGTCTAAACGCTTTAACAATACGATGTCGTTTAGCAACGTTTCTTTTGGTCGATGGGAAGTGGTATAACTTTATAAATCTATACCATATTATAAAGGGAAAATGTATAAAATAGCAATCTACTTTCATAAATTTTTTTATTATAGCATTGTACTTTCAGTTTTTCTTATTACAGCAATGTACTTTCAAACTATTTTTTATTAGGACATTGTACTTTGAAAAATTTACTTATTATAGCATTAGGTAACCTTTTGTTTTAAATTTACCCATTATACATTTATACTATGTTTCCATGTCACCTCATTGTCCACGTAGGCTGTTCATATGTACTATAGTGATGTGATTTTCTTACTACATCATTGTA